GAAGGCCTATCAATCACGATTTGCAAAAGGTACTTCCGATACTCTATCGCCTTAGATTGATAAATGTAAATATATTGTCGACAACCGAATTTCACAAGTATTATTGATATGGGGTACTAGTTATTGCAGGATAATTAAAGGAGCAACAAGATAAAAGATCAGGGACTAACCCCGGCTTTGCCCAAGCTGCAACCTCTCGCCAGGAAAGGGCACTTGGAGTTTAGTTCAGCGTGCCTCTTCCAGGGACAGTCACCCACAACCCAGGAATGCAGAATGTTACCACAGTGGGCGCATAGTAGTGTGTTCCCCAGGCCTGCACAGACAATATAATAAACATTAATCCATTTCATGACAGGAGTGGCATATCAACTTTCATATTTGAACATTTCTACATTAATCGAGCATGTTCTTTCTACGAAGATTTCCAACAGCATCCTACGACTCTTGCCCAAAAGTGGTTTTATCGAGGTTACAATAGTCAAGGCCTGATATTAGTAAAGCTTTCAAAGTGTTGTATGGTATTCATGTTGAGATTGAACATTTCTAAATTTAATGCATTAGTGACAAAGATATTGTCCGATACAATTCCAAATTTTGACTTGTGTAATTGTTTCTTGTGTTTTTTAGGTTGGGCACTTGCCTTGCCTTTGCACGTGTTTGTGACGGGTGCCACCGGTGGAGCAGGAAACGTTCACCTTTTCATCATTATTTGACAGTGAGTTATAACCACATGATGATAGTGTGGTCTGAAACGGGCATCAGAATAGTACATTGCTTAAGCAGGGTTTTCTCACGATAATGAAAAGGGTTTTGTTTACCTGAGTAAAAGAATCCGGCCTTTGCCATGTCCTTTACCTGGGTCTACGAGACCCCTTGGAGCAGTGTGGTTGCTATATCCTTCAGGGTCTTCAGGCGTTGTTCGAAATTCCACATCCTTACAGGGTAACTGATGCGTTTATATGCAATGTGACTAACCTGTCCCCTACAGATAATAAATCAATTTCTAAATATTCATTCGCGAATAGTTGGCGTTATGTCTATATAAATACACACGCCACTGACACATCACTGCTAAATATATCTACCAATCACTGGTAGGTAATAATACATAGCGCGGGTGTGTCCGCCAACGTCTCTGTAAATATTACAGGGTCGTCAAACCAGCTTTCAATTTACAGCTAGTTTAGCTTCCCGATTGCTCGCCTGTGTTAACCGTCCTCGCCGAGATACGTCGATACAATAACTGTGCTGTCATTAGAAATAGCAAGGTGATAGAGCCGTTTACAATCCTGCTTGCAAATAGCTATCAAACGATAATGGGCCTTACACCTCAAGGCGCATAAGTCGTATAATGTATTTTATTTAAACACTTACTTGGAAAAATACTTCTTATTACCAAAGGTCGCAGATCTCCAATACAGTGAGTGAGGGAGACTTTCACGTGACAAACTTACGCTTTAACCCCAGCTACCACACTGACCCAAGTTACCTTGTATTTTTAAATAATAAAATATCGTCACTCGAGATGGAAACTATCAAGAGAAAGAAATAAAACATTTTAAATACGGACCACCAACAAGCTATAGATAGCCACTGAAGGCAAAATACATTCAGTTAAATTAACTGTTATAGTCCCTTGGGTTATCGACGTATATATTTTGTTTAACTTGTAATGTAAAGATTCGAGTCGTCTTGCAATATGCCTCTGTTTATCGAAAATTACTTCTCCATGTGAGCATTTTTAAATCAGTTGAATGAAGTCAACAATTTATTTGGTCGTTTTGCACTTCAACTCCAAGTTACCCGGGTATTTTCACAGGGTCCAACACACTTAACCTAATATTTCTGTTGTTAGGAAAGTAAACTTGTGCCCTATATATACATAGCACACGTATACAACAACGAGTTCTCATATAAACAATAACAGGCGAGACGTCCGTGACATACTGTAAACAAATATGACAGTGATCCGATTTCGGTTAGTGCAGAACGAAATCTACTATTATTTACATTGAAGTACAATCTAGTAGAAATGGTATTCCTCTCTCTCAGATATGATTCATTTTGTTACAGATTTTTAGATATGATTTAGTTTCAAAATCACAATAAGCCTATCTATTAATATAGCAAATTACTGGAGCATAATATTGCAAATTACTCTAGCAGTAATAAATCTTTAGGCATAGAAATATATTCTTTGTCAATGGTTTTCGTTCCACAAAATCTTTCAATTTGATTCATATAAGGTCCCTATTAAATCATTCATAGACTATTACATCATTTCTATGAAGAGACAGGACCCATGCAGTAATGAATTACCTGATCCTATTATGGTGAAATGGAATCATCCCTTCAAGGCTAGAAAGAAGAGGAAAATTTCGTGAGAAGGAAGTGAATTACTGAAATATTTTGACAGATTGAAATAAAAAAAATTAGTTGATATCAGAAAATTATTGGTTTAGAATTGTTTGCAACATAAGTTATTCACTGGTAGAATCTAGTGGAAGGTTCCTGATAAACATTTTAGTGAAACAATATAACTGTTAAAAACGATTATGATTGTCGAGGCATTTTAATTAATTTACTGGAAATAACATCAAGTTTTTTATGAGCTCAGAGTAACATGGTCAAGTAATGATATAAATATAATCTGATCAAGTTAATAATAATTATTCCAACCAGTTATTTCACTGATGCCGTATAAAAGTAAGATTAATATGATTTAATTGCGCTAACAAACACTAAATGTTTGATGGCACAACATCCACCTGGTATAAAACTTAACTTGTTGGCTCTTTCTATAGGAAAGAATATAATTTAAAAAAAGATAGATTTGAAAGTGATTACCAGTATCATAACGCATGATACTTATTTCAAGATACACAGAATTTGTAAAAACTAAGACACTATCTCTTTGTCGCACCCTGATCAGGATTTAACCAGAGTGCCTGATCAATTCTGATACAGAATACATTATATAATTCTTAATACATTTCATATATAACTGTGAATTTTGAAATGTATGTAACCCAAAATGTAATTCTTTACCTTGATCTGGGGAGATTGTCAATATTTGATAATTGAGCAAGAGCTGCATGTAGTGTTTATTAAGGATGTTGGTTATTTACATATTGTTCACGTTTTGGTTGGGATTGTGTTGAGAATGAGCTTTATATTTACTTCACAGTGATTTTGCTGGCTTCAGGACATTTTCACGTGTTTTCTAGAACAACTTTAGGACATTATTGATGACAGTCAATCAGTAAACTAGAAAAAGAACTGGTCTGAATCCCCGTTTGTGTGTATTTTTATTATTTAAGGAAACGCCATGTTCACTCCAGGTGTCCAGTTACCTGATATTTGCAATTAAATGTATGTTGTTTCATGCATAAGTAATACTTGTCACTTAACATGTGATTTGTAAAATGAAACATATATTGTTTAGTGTTATGTCCTATAGGCATGAGGTTTCTGGAACAATAAAAGAATTATTTCTTCTTACGTACAGTCATGATGTCATTTTGTTGATTAAAGCTTTGAACTTATGACATATTTAATTCTTTGGATGGCACTTAGAAGTGATACACATAAGGAAGAGAATTTAAGGATGGTGGTGTTCCTCATAATGAAGAAGTTGACATCCATATATTCTCTTCCTATGAGATATTTGTTGTACTTCATTTACATGTTTAGTTGTTAACAGTTATAATTCTTCATGACAAGTCTTTTGAATAAAAGATCATATATGAATTTTAATTTGTGTTTTATATTTTATCAATGCAATTTATTTGATGGGAAGTGAGTGAGTGAGTGAGCGTGTCAAGATTTAACGTCACATCGGCAGTATTTCAGCCATACCGTGACGAAATTGATGGGAAGTACTGCAGACCCTGTCATCAGATACTTTTACCATCGTAGGTTTCCTTTTTCTGGAACATAGATCCGATTGATTTGCCATAACTATGGCAGTTACAGGTGCTCATTTTATCTTGGATCCTGTCAATGTTTTCAACTGTTCTCACATCCAAGTACATAAATACTGGTAATTTATTAAGTCCAATATTCTGGAAGTGTAACCAGGGATTTTTATCTAAATTTAGAATTCCAAACTAAGTGCCCTTGACAAACAGATTAGGGAAAAAAACTAATACCATTTCCTTACATTCTGCATTATTTTAGGATGGCATAGATATGTAAAAACTTTTGAAGAGGGACAGTTTACTGACATCTGCTACAGATTTGGGGATGAATAGCAGCCTCTGAGCAGGCCTAGATTTATCCCTTGTGATATGCCCAACCCCATGTTCCAGATGCCCAAATATAATATATGTTATGATTCATTTATTATATAATAAAGACTAATGCAGCAGTGGGGGGAAATAATGTACTGCTTTGATTTTATCAATTCTTCTTTTATGTTGATTCATTAAAAAGACCAACTAACTCTATGCCTTTCAGGTTATATTGGTTTTACTTAGAGCAGACAAAAAATCCACATGATTTGTAACTTGTTCTTGTGTTTACGGTTTCCAGTACTTTCCATATACTTGTACTTAAATTACGATGGAAAGTAAAAAAACAAAATTTAGTTACCCCGCCCTTGGATGAATAATGTATTGACATGCTGTAAATTGACAACATTATATGCTCTGCCTGACATGAGTGCTTCGAAGTAATGCACGCTTCTAACTTTCAGCCATGGTGACTTCCTCATTAACCGATACACCATTACATCGGACATATGACTCATTCTCTGTTCCCATATGCAATTTGACAACTAAAATAGAACCCAAAACAGATCATATATAACTCTCTTTAGATATTTTTGACACACGACTGGTAACAAAGCATTCTAAGCCAAATTCAACGAGGACGGCAGCTTGTGGGCGGGGCTTATCGGTCGGGACTGGATCGGTGTATTGTGCAGAGCTGGTCACTGCAGTTGATAACCACAACAAGTGAACAAATATCAATTGATCTTTAAAATCCCCAGCCAAGGGTTTTCCCCTTCTTAATATAGACACTATCGGAAAACCCCTAGAAACACGTACAGGTACGCATGCGCATGCGCGACACGACACGACAGGGAGTACTTGTTGCACGACTGCGTCATTCTGGAGCTGACTTTGGAAGGAAAGGTTTCTCCATATGCCGGCTGGTCAGGTATGCCATTATGTATGGGTGCGCTGGATTGAACTGCATCTAAACAGACATTTATAGTACTTCAGTAAATACTTTTTTCTGGCGATCCGTTTACTGTTCATCTGAAACAGGATATAAACGCCCCGATTAAAGATTTTGAGTTCGATTTTGTAGGGAATAGTTCCTCCGTTTTGTCACACAAATATTCGTAAACATTTGTTGACTCATATATCAACACAGACGCCGAGGGAAGCTTGACTATTATATAGGGCTTCGCGACTGTGGATTGTTTACTGTTGTCTGTCCCTTTTTCGAACTTAGAAGATGAAACGAACCGTTTAAGATGTTTTGTGTTGCATTGTTGCTAAAACGTAACTGGGCCGTTTTGCTTGTACACTGGATGAAGGTTTTTGTTCTTTTAACTCTGACGACCTAAGATTTATTTTTGAGATTAATGATAGCTTTATTTACCATCTTCAGATAACATTACTGATAAAATCAATACTTTGCTACATTTACACATTCCCATTAGTATGTGTTTGATTTAACGAAAATACAATGACATAGTTTGGGCCCCGTTAATCTGAAACCCGCCATCCGGACAATTACTCCTGGAAATATAATATATGAACAAAAAGGTATTACTCCGAACGCATGCGTCGTTTATCAGGATCATTTCAAAGGGGAAAGTTACCGGATTAACAGGGTTTAACAATATATTACTCTCGGTAGGTAATAAATATTGAAACAGTTGTGGGAGAACTAATTTGTCCGCCATCCCACGAGAAAATGTTTTCTCCCTACACATGCCTATATCTTATGTGACGGTTTAGTTATTCTCAAGGGTAGTAAATTCTGGTGTTGACAATCTATATTTACAACATGACCATGAAGCTAAATTAAATTGTCGGCATTTACCTTCAAAAATTCTTGCTAAAAGAGTTAATTTTACTCTTGCAGGAACCCACGATGAGGAACATAATGTATAAATGGATATTGAATATTTATATCCGATACATAATAGCGCCAATAAGAAAATATTTCTTCAAGTTGAAATATGGAAATATTATCGTAAAGAAAGTCAGTGGTGGACGCTTGACTGACACTATTTTATATATCATGGCATTAAATGATCCGTCATGGTATTGTAATAAATCGCATAAAAATATGGCGCCGTCGAATTGGTACTATACACCAATGCTAAACGCGTTTCCCTATATCTGGGTATACCCATCAATATCCCTTAAAGGGAATTTCGAGGAACTAATGGCTAGACGTGGAGTACCTCTGGAGGAAATCATGGTCTATGAAGCGCTGAGATTGAAATCTTTCCATGCCGTAGACACAGCAAATGTATCCCCCATACAGCTGGCGGCTGCAGGGTTCTATGCTACAGATGGTGGTAGAGAGGTCAGATGCTTCAGCTGCGGCATTAGGCACGGGATGCACGCCACTCAACGTCATAAAACTGGGTGTCGACACAGGAATGGTTTACCTTGTGGAAATGTTACTTTTCGTGAGAGCCCTTTGCCTTCGGAGTGGAGTATTATAAGTATCCGTTCTAGATACCCACCTATAACTACAGATATCGATCTTCATTCTCCCGTGAGTCAGCCACGACTTTCTGATCCCGGTCCAACGGCCTATACTAACCATAGAGTAACTGATCACACTACGGAACCTGATAGACTGGCTTCGTTTGAACTGGCTTCGACGGAGAGACGTCAGGCTCCGCAACAGACCCCGAAAGCAGAAGGTACATATGTACATAATGATTACCTTGCTGTTATGCATCTCTGAATAAAACTGTAATTCTGTAATTCAACTCTTAAAGCCAACAAGTTACTTCATGATATGTACTTGGATATAAGTAATATATATATATATGCGAATTATCGATGGCGACATTGTCTGTGTGAGGGGCACAAACAGGAGAGTCGATTGTAACACGTGTATGATGTATGTATCCTTAAGCATTGGCGGTTGCATGCATAGAAAGGCTAATAATCATGCGTGCATCTATCCTGATGCAGGCTCCTCCGTCTGTGAGCTAATCTGGCTCGTACTCATCTTGCAACATTTGTTGTTTTCAGAAACGAGTCAGAGTCAACGAGAACATAGGCTTTTCGAATGTTTATGTATTAAACATATTTTATTGTCCAAAAAGACAAGTGCACCACTTATTACCGCCTTCGCACTTAATGTTTCTGTTTCTGGTAAATACCAAATTCATCTGATGAGACATGGCCTAACAGTGAGGTGATATATGCGTTCTTTTTGCAGAAAGCACTGTGGAAGAGATACAGCAGCTGAATGAGTCGGACTTGTGTAAGAAATGTCTGGAGGACCCCGCCAACATCGTCTTCCTACCCTGTGGACATCTGGTGGCCTGTTCCATGTGCGCCCCAGCTCTAGAACATTGCCCAGTCTGTAGGACACACGTCCGGGGAACAGTCCGGAGAAAATGATGTAATTTAGAATTTAAATTATATATATATACATATATATATATATTGTGAATAACTAATAGCTTTCTATAAGCAACTAATTTTACGTTTCTCAAATTTACAAATTCATGAGTACGTTCTCGATTACGTGAGAGGTATTTTTATATGTAAACCTCATGATAATATATGTGCTGATGAAACCATCTTGGTTTTTGATAAGAAACATATATGCTAAATAGAAAATTATCACATTATGGATAATCTAATACTAAAAATTTAGATCAGTTTAGATTATTACTATAGTTAATATGTCATGCCATTTCGTATTACTATAGTTATTAATATATCATGGCAGGACACAGTAACTATAGTAATATGAAATAATCTGGTGTTTTTAACCTGTTTTTGAGGAGCATATGTGATACATACATAGAAAAATGTATGTTCCCGATAAGGATATTTGATATTTTAAATACCCGGCTAAAACTCCCATTGAAAATAAGTTCATCATTGGTAATGACTTTATTCGTAATGAATTTGTTTATTATGGTTTTGTGCCTCAAATACCACATGCCCTTAAACATCAACTGTGCATGTAAGATTACCACTGACTGCAACTTGGGTTTCACTCTCGTTTGCACTGGAGATGTTTAAGTCGACATCACACTAGATGCATTGATTTCCTTGTTTGTTTCGAAACTTTCGCATTTAATATAACAAGGAGGTTATATGTAGGCATGATAATGAATGAAACCTTTTCACTCTGCACAGATTAGGGTTAGAATTAAAAAGATTCGTAAGAGGCGACTGACGAGATCGTGTGGTCAGCCTCGGTGACTTGATTGATGCATGTATCATAGGCAGTTTGGCAGGGTATATAGGTTTTAACAGGGAGTCTATATGTTTTAACAAGGAGTGTATATACGTTTTATATATTCCCTTAATTAAGTAAGTTGATTATATCTATTTAAATAAACAGAGTGCTGCCAATACAAATTATAACAGCAGCTGGGGTATCATTACCATGGCCAGCAGCACAGAGTCATGTGCGTGTCAGCGGGTTGTAGTTAATGCCAGAGAATGGCCGGTTGGCCACTGAAGCTTAACTTTGTGGATGAGGTGCGGGATACTGCAGGCTGACCATGTATGTAACGTAACACGATACATTGCAGTCTGAAAGTGAGGGTTAAAGATAGTACGCTTTCTGTTAGTCGGGACTTGACCCTTGGACAGCGGCTAGGCAGGTTGGCTCTCTGACGCCTCTGATATGCTGCCTGGCCATGTCTGTCCCATTACCACAATCGTGATTATGCACATGCCGTAACTGTTATATCACAAATAAAGTGTTGTGGGCCCAATGATGGACTCCTGTGTTTGAAGGACAGATATCCCAAACCTAACAGCCCGGGATACATGGTGGAATCCAAGATCTCGGAACCTCTCTGCAACAACGTTCGTAAGCGAAATCTCCCCACAAGTCCGGTGATATCCATCCATCCTGGGTCCACATCACAACTCACGTCAAAACAGCAACTATCATCGTGAATTCGGAGAACAGTTGACCACACTGCCTTTCAACTGTGCCACGGAATCCACAATTGGGACGCTTTGCAGCTTTGTGAAAAGGTTTCCGTCACATCTTACAATAGTGACGTCTTTTTACGGCAAGTGGGAACAACAGCAAGAATTCTGTGAGTTCCTCACCATCCACGACTGCAAGCAACGAATGCACGTACAACGGCCCCTATACGTGAATCCTTTCGGAAACAAATAAAAACCAAGGACTCCATCAAGGCAAAGAATTTCAACTAACTCTGTTTCACCTTGTGTCAGTGACTTTGTGATTTTTCAGTGACTATAGTGATTGTTCTGTAATTTTTAGTTAATCTTTCCACTGGGTAAGTGTTTATACAATTTGGTCATTCTTGTTAAGTCTTTAAAGTTACGATGCCTCTGTTTTCATTCAAAACTACATGCTCTGATGATGAAACGCCTTCCAGTAAGCCGAGTTTTCTTTCGAGGATCCGCCGTAAACCTAAACAGGCAGATGCTAAGACAACCCCTCTTCGTTCCCTTTCTCCATCTTCTACTCATCAGCCAGCCACTTCTAAACCCCCTGATCCCCATTGCCGAATTATTAACCCCCATTCTGAGGGCCGTTGTTGTTCTCTCCCTCCGTGCCCCTCTCCACTCGCTGACCACCGCACTGTCCAGCCCCCATCTCGCGTCAGCTTCACGACCCTCCCCATGCCTTTGTTTGACGGACATGATGCCTTTGTTTGACGGACATGATCCCCGCTCTGCACCTTCATGCCTAGGTAGATTTCAGAAATTTACCTCAATTCAAAATTACACCAGTGAAGAAATTATTAACGTTTTCCCCCTATAGTTATCCAAAACTGCTTTAATTTGGTATGAAGGACTTCCATGTAAAGACAACATGACATGGCCTGAACTCAAACAATCATTTTTAAAATGGTATGGTCCAACGTCTACCTAGGATATATTGGTGGAGCTTCGATCCTCGGTACCTCAAACCCAATGCAACAAGATAAAGAAGTTTGTCAACACAAAGTGAATCGTTATTTCGTCTTGGGTCCACAACAATCACGACAACAACCAACAACCAGCATTCTGGTTCGTCTATCCTCAAGCTATTCTGTGCTCATCATTATTGTCATCATTGTTCTTACTCGGAGATATTGTTACCATCCTAAAAGGCCAACCCCTTAAGCCGTCCCGGGGACCAGCAACTTTTCCAGGATACAACAGAAAAAGAACCCAGGATTCCTTGTTTCGTCACACCCCTCCCTCAACCATCAAGAGGTGATTTCGAAGACTGACATTTTCATCGACGACCACTGTGTTAACAACATCAAGTTCCACTTAACCAAGACATTTGTTTCATTCCGGTAATTCCTGTGTGTTTGTGCCAGCCACTATCTCAAAAGAAACAGTCCTCAAAGGCATTGTGATTTGCAGTGAATATTTGTTGTAATTAATGTGCTACAGCCCTTCATATTTGTGACATTCGTAGGAACAGTTTTGGTAAGCATTATTTCATATATTGTATTACAATCAACAAGAATGACTTTTTACGCTCTGAAACCCCTCAATGCCCATGAACGTCTTCCCCTATCCTCCCCCGAAGTCTTGAGTCCTCCCATAGTATACCAGTCCTTACAGTCTAGAAATGGTTCAACCCAACAAGAAACTATTTTCACTCCCCGATGGGAAACCTTGTATGCAACCGGGTCACCACGACCTCGTTCACCACAGCCTCAACACCCCCAGGACCCCCAACAAACTCCCCTATCTTACTTGCCTCCTCCATCACAGTGTACCTCCCTCTCCTCACCACCCCCCTCCCAATCTGAAATACCTCAAACATGTCAGCTGACCAATCGCCCGAGACCCCACGCTGATAATCCTTCGTCCACTGATGATCGCACCTCTTTATTAAGACTCATTAACTGCTCCCGCCTCCCGCTCTCAATGTATGATGGCAAGGATTCCATTGCTGCTGTTTCATGGCTGAAACGCTTTGAAAACTTTGCTTCAGTACAAAAGTATTCTGAAGAAGACCAAACAAAAATATTCCCCCTTTATTTAACTGATCTCGCAGCTGAATGGTACGATGGTATCAACAATATTTCACTTATGTCTTGGTCTGAGTTGAGACAAGCCTTTTTACGGAGATATGCACCTTCCGCAGTAGGTCTTGTAACTCGACAAAATGATTTATTGGACAGAAAACAGAGGGAAGGTGAACCTTTCCGATCTTTCCTCCAGTCCATAAGACATGAGGCAGAGCTTCTACAAAGAAATGAAGACATGTACATCAAAGATCTTATTCTCCGTAATGCTCTTCCCAATATCCGCATGTTCATCCTGACACGCCCCCTCACCTCCTTAAAACAGGTCACAGATAGTGCGGAGATAGCCGAGGCCATGTCAGGGTGGACTGACTCCAGATCTGATGAAACCATGACCGCTATAAATGAACTCACAGTTAAAGTCAATACTCTCAACACCCATCATGTCAATGCAATAGGATCAGATACTGGGCCAAAGAAAGAGCATTCATGTCAGTCAGGATCTATTCCATCACCATATCCCCAAGCACAACATGTGAACCACGGGTCTCAGTCCCCAACTCATCAACCCTGGTCATCACAATACCGACCTTGCATGTATAATCAAGGACCCCATCTGTGCCCTTTAACGACTCCATGGGATTCCAATGTGAAGATAACGCTCGTTCTCTTGACCAGTTCATGTGGTATCATCAAAACCTCTTGCTACGATGTCTTAGTATTGCTCATATTTTCACCACCCTCATTTTGACCATGTACCCTTTTGTAAACCTGGTGCTAACGAAACTCAACCCATACCTATCAACAGTCTATTAACGCTCATAGGATTTAATGTTCTTCTATTAAAGTGTACCCTTGGTGCGAGTGTGTGACAATGATGTCTATTTGTTGAAGTTAATTACATCATTAAATAGTAACTGCTCTTACCCATTATAGGCCCTTTGCTAGCGGGGGTTGGAAATGAGTAGTTACGATTATCTGTCCCTATGTGATTCTTAATACATCATTGAAAATGAATGCATATATATTCCCTTTGTGAGCTGTTGTCTATTTATGAAAAATGTCAATCCTGTTTGAAGTATAAATGTGTGTTGAAAGTAGGTTTAGAATAGGCTTGTCTTATGTACTGTAAAGTGGAGAGAGAGAGAGAGAGATTGAAAGAGTAAGATAGCTGCTGATAGGATAAATGAACAAAGAGATGACAGAATACAAAAGAAAAACTGACATGTATGGTAGATAGGGTGGGTCCGAGAGAGAGAGAGAGAGAGAGAGAGAGAGAGAGAGAGAGGGAGGGGGGTGTAGTGTGGGTGCGAGAGAGAGAGAGAGGGAGGGAGAGAGAGAGAGAGAGGGAGGGAGAGAGAGAAAGGAAAGGAGAGAGAGAGAAACAGTGAGAGGGTATAGCGTGGGTGCGAAACAGAGACAGAGAGAGGTGAAGTGTAGGCGCGAGGGAAGAACAGATGTAGAATTGGGTGAATGAAGTGTTTGTCCACATGGGAATTATGAACTGACAAGAAAAATAGAATGAAAGAAAGTGAGTGAAGCAGAGCATAAGTGAAAGCGTTATTTGTGAGGAGTGGAAATAACGAGAAGATGGAATAAGAACAAGACAGAACAACCGCTGTTATATGTATCAATCTCCTTGTTCATTTTTTTTTTCATTGTACATATTCATGTATTGGTATATTTGTAACGTGTAACTTCCTTGTCTGTATGGATAGCAATGCATCGATGTAACCACTGTATTCATTGTACGTATGTAGTCATATTGTCGTTACTGGAAATATTTCTGTGTGAAATTGTATCCAGTTCGACAGCAGTGTTTGTAGATAAAAAAAATAATCGTGGTCCACACACAAAATGCTGTACATTACATCAAATTCTCAGTTTAAATTTTGTCCAGTTAAAAAAAGAAAGAAAATTGCTTTATGTACTTTTTGCTTGTTTATACATTTCATATTGTTTTAAATATGTGGTTAAATTGATTGATTGTCCACCGTACCTCATTCCCAATTCCTTATAAGGACGTGGGACACGTCCTTCTTTACAGAAATGGCATATATCATAGGCAGTTTGGCAGGGTATATAGGTTTTAACAGGGAGTCTATATGTTTTAACAAGGGGTGTATATACGTTTTATATATTCCCTTAATTAAGTAAGTTGATTATATCTATTTAAATAAACAGAGTGCTGCCAATACAAATTATAACAGCAGCTGGGGTATCATTACCATGGCCAGCAGCACAGAGTCATGTGCGGGTCAGCGGGTTGTAGTTAATGCCAGAGAATGGCCGGTTGGCCACTGAAGCTTAACTTTGTGGATGAGGTGCGGGATACTGCAGGCTGACCATGTATGTAACGTAACACGATACATTGCAGTCTGACAGTGAGGGTTAAAGATAGTACGCTTTCTGTTAGTCGGGACTTGACCCTCGGACAGCGGCTAGGCAGGTTGGCCCTCTTACGCCTCAGACATCCTGCTTGGCCATACTACTATGTAGTTATATAGACATATTAAGATCACGAATAAACGTTGTGGACCCACAGACGGACTTGTGTGTTGTCATAAGAGAAATATCCGGTAGAGCACCAACGTCTACCTAGGATACATGTTATCGTATCCCAATTGCGTTGAACGATACTAATGATGTCTATCATTGGATTTTATGTTCAAGACTCGATAATTTACAGACTGATGGAACACTGCTGAGTGCGGCGTTAAACAACAAACAAACAAAACGTACAAAACAAATACTTTGCACAGAATAATTGAATTTCTTCATTCTAATAGGTCGCGGGGTAGACGCCGAATACCCGCGTTCGATTTCTTAAACTGGTACAATGTGTAAGGCTCATTTCTGGTGTCGCCCGTGATATTGTCCGAATATAGCTAAAAGAGGCGTAAAACCATACTCACTCACTCATGCCAGTGAACATGTCCATTAAATAAAAATATGTATAATTAAAAGTAAAGATTTAGTTTTATTGACACTTAAACCGAGACTAGGGATAAAGATGCCTGTCAGCTCTCAATGATCCCCACATACATGCTTGTTTCGTGCACATGCATAATCTACTGTTTAAGGAAGTGTAATACAACTATTGTTTTCACATGTTGTAACAAACCTAGGTCACATGCCACACTCACCAGATTCGTAAGCTCACTCAAAAACGCATACATTTTCGATATGAAATCATAAAGCAATTGAACTGAACTTTGCATGACATCAACAACGGGATCCCGATTTGGCAACTATAGCAATCATATTGAAAATGAAATTTACTAAATTTTCCCATTTTCTTAGTGTATGGTATGCAGAATAACATAGGATAGATATGGGAATATTGATTTTTTGCATTGCTGTGGTCTATGTTAATGAAATCTGTTTTTTTTGTTAATCTGTTTATTTTGTTTTTGTTTATTCTTCTTTGTCCATGTATTAAAATCGTCAATAAATATAGAATACAGAAAACATTCCAGAAACATCAAGGGAGGCTAAAGCTCTATTTGCATTGTTCCCTGTGACTGTCGAATCCTTTTTATCGCATCGAGAACATGGGGCTGCCAGTAAACCAAGGCGCCTCGTTACTTAACCTCGAGTTGTCACTTTTCGAATCCTTGATTCAACCCAAATTGGAAGCTTGGTCTGTCGACACCAAAGCTCGGTTCTTGAATTTCCAACCTGTCCAATGTTTTACACTCCTCCCGAATTCTGGTGATCATACAACGCCGGGATATAATAAATACTGTTAAAAGGCGTTAAACTTATTTATCAACCGTTTTTCACCCACAATTGAAATCAGTTACTCCCATCTCTTTAAAGCCCAAATAGGACAAGAGTGTACTCGTCGCCGATTTCCTTTTACTGAATTTAATCTCATATGTGCGCAAGGCTTAACTGGTTGTGGGTTCGAAACCGGGCCATATTCGCCCTGATTTTGATTTTGGTTTGTCAGTATCAAACGCGTACTGGTTTCACCAATATGGCAAACATCAACGACCCCCATAAAACTGAAACGCCGCGGTGTTACTGAAAAATAACCCATTTTAAAAGCATTGCTAGAAATTGTCTTGATTATTAGAGCGCTTCCCGCCCTTGCCCCCAACTTCAATTTTTCGTCTCAATTGTATATAAACTATTTTTTTGTTATTAATTTTATAACAATAACATGTAGATTACTGAGTGTGCATAAAATAACTTCACGTCTTCACGTGAATGGTAACGTTTAAGAACTTAATTTAATTTGCACCCTTGACTTCTTTTTTGGAACTTGCTCAGTGACCTGCGTTATTATCCGAACTGCATTAGAGACATAAAAGTAAATGACACGTGGGAATCTTATGGTGTGTATGCAGTCGTTCTTCTTTTCTTACCTTTCCTCCAATATAGTTTATTCTTGATTTTGCAGAATAGTAATAGTTACATTTGAATAAAAATCATTACATTGTATTATCACATGCACAATATGAAAACTTTCAAGAAAAAATAATTGTACTTGATGTTGTACAGAAATTTATTATGTTACAGGATGTATTTCTCAGTTGATGTGATTACACTACTAGATTTGTTCGAATGATCATACTTGACAATTGTCATATTTGACAATTACCATATATAATTAGAGTTAGAACATCATTGTGACTCCAAGTGTCTTCGTTTAAAATATGTAACTTATCCTAGTTGTTTCGTTAGTCTACTTGGTGATCTTGGCCCTGATAACAAGTGTTTTGGAATAGCCATGAAATAAACGTGCTGTAGTTTCCTTTCCTCTTTTGACAGAACGTGCATAAATCTCTACACGAGTGTTACATATTGAATAGAATACAGTTATACAACATTTTGCATCGCAAAGTTAATTTTACTGAAATATTTCCAGTGACTTATCGGGTATTTAAAATTAAGTATTTAATATGATTATGGAAATGGTTTTGTCCCTTTTTGTAAATAACTCTGCGTCTAACTGCAATCACTTGATTTAATCATTATCGAAAACACATCCGACTTATTATTTATATTAAAGGAAATAATGGCACGTCCAACTTTGTTTTCAATTAAATTACACTATGTTGCAATGATGTTTTATTTACCTGTTTGCTTTCATATTCAAGAATAATAGTTTATCATAATTCTTCTAAACGGCAATTTGCCAGTTGAATTTTCATCACAGTGTGAATAGTGAGTAGTTTTTGCACCATTTTTTATAATTTTGCAATGTTGGTTATGACAATAAATTTATCATTCACAACACGTTTACCATTTATGTGTTTTTGAAGGGTAATTAGGTTTGTTGTGAGGAATTTTTGTAATTTTGTACTCTAGAAGAATGTGAAGCGTGAAATTCGCTGCACATAAAAACGGTTGTAGAACTTATATTATTACACGACATTGATTTGCTGGCTGTTCTGCAAAGAGAGATTACATGTTATTTTCACTCCGGTTCATCGTCAATACTCCACGACATTGCACATGCTACATGTATGTGCCTACATCACCCGTGAATACATTTTGACCAAGCGATGTTATTTTCAAAAACATATTTTATTGACAGAAATTATCAATGGGGTTGGGCGAAAGTTATCGTCTCTCGACTACGTTGATTTCCACAAAAAACATCACATTGCAAAGTAACAAGGAGATATGTATTTACACGAAAAACATAAACATTTATGAAACATATGTTTGGAAGAAGAACATAAAGATACATAAATGCATATATGAACATAAAAATGTATATGATGTTATATACATAATAAAGAGTTACCCAAATCAACTAGTCGACAATATATATTTTAATCAACACATGGTCTGGATCCAGCGAGAGTCATCATTTCACGTACAACATTTGCCATAGACCTACCGCAGTCTGTTTTGCACATTAATAATAATAATAATAATAATAATAATAATAATAATAATAATTAAAATAATAATAATAATATAGTTTATTAATATGTCATGTGTACATAATACACCTGGTCATTACTGGCCTAAAAGACACCTTAAATTATACAATCAATAAAATACATAAATAAAACATTATAACTAATAATATCTTCATATAATTACAGCACCCCCCCCCCCCCCCCCCCCCCCCTACCCCCCATCGCTCCACTCCACAGAGACACGGACATATACTCTCACGCAAGTTCAACCAAGTCACCAGTTCACACACCTTAGCACCCCCCCTTCCCCCACATACGTGTCACACATTGCGGTGCAGGGCCTGTTCGAATTCCTTGAGTCATACTCGGCTTCATTTCATTGGCTGCTAACCAGACAAAGGTCGTTACGCCACAACACGCAATACGTACAAACCCCTGAATTATTGACGACGACCCTGCCTACCTTGGAGGAAGAATCCACTGAGCCGTATCGATCCCCGTGTGCAACGCGGCTGCGGTATCCTTCCTGGTCTCCGGGTATGTTTCGTTACGCCACATCCGGGTGTGACACATTGGTATGTTCTCGGAATTCGTCTCTAGACAAACCACTTTCAAGAGTTTGTAATGATAGCATCTGGCAATCTCTTAGAAACGACATTGAGGAAGGTCAACATGTTATGTTCAAGGGCACACTGTTGATATGTTAAAATGTAAACATATTCTGTATATTAGTCAGAAACACCCAATGGAAAACACTGTACGATGACTACATTTCATGACTACGGGATTTATCCTCTTAGGCGAGCACAGCTGAAATGTGTCGCAAACAGATAACGCAGTTCGGGGTAAGAGATCCACGTCAGTCGACATCGTGAGTTGGCGTCAGGTATAGATTTCACATACAAGTCAATGTCCACACACTAACCAATCAACGGTGGGATATGAATCGTGTGATGGGCGTGTATGTGAACTGTGAACTTTCAGCGTACCTTTTAACTGGCTAAATCGGATAAAGTGTTTGCCACACGTTGTCCTCAACAAGTACAGGTCGATCACTGTGGCATTATAAATAGAACGCCCTCGCTTTAAATTAGGTTTTCCAACAGCTATTGGTCGATCAAAACTTGTCTATAATTCATTTGGCCGACCATACTTAACACTAACAAGTAGGTCCAACACCACATGCACCCATTCAAAGGTCGTAGATCCCATTATTGTCCCATATATGGTATTATGCCTCTGTGTACAACCTTAAATCCAGCCTATCGTTAGTGTGGGCCGAAACGTATGTAAATCATTGAAAAATCCACTCCTGTCGCTCGAAAATGCCGACATTGAACGGTTCTGATCATGAAGGAGATCCTGTCCCTTAACAACTTTGATTTAATGTACCTCTTCTTGTTGTTATGTTTTGTGTTATCAAAAGTAAATTAATACCTTCTCAAAATATACAGTAACTAACGTTAACAAACTGTGAGTACCAATAAAAGCAATAATTTAAAATTCCTAATGTATACTATTTGTCACTCAGGTAAACACATACAAGACGGCAGCAAACCAGAGCTTTTAAAAGTTCAACTATATTAAGCTCTGCGCGAACCAGGTCTCACTTCTAATAAACACAAATACGCCCACACATTTAATACGTAATGAAAATAATATGATATAAAGCTTACATTACAACTACTTGGAAAATCGTCAACACAAAGCAGAATGCTAGTGGTATGTAGTATCACTAAAAAAGTTGAAAAACATGAGTGTAATAAGTTTGCGATATTTGAAAGATTTAAAACGCTGATTTGTCATCTGAAGCATTATGAAGAGTGTTTAAAATCAAACATGACGTCATTCATGTTCGGGACGTCACACATCGATGATACATCAGAATGACATCCCATAGATTCTTCATAAGGTTGACATGGCATACATTTCTAATCAAATTTAATTTATTTCTTGTATTAACTTAAAATTCAACTATAGGATGTAAAACACTTTACCCCATAAACCCAAACAGGTACCTATCTGGGCACATCTTCCCAGAGCTACCGCTCCAGGCCCAGATGTATTAATACGTATGAAGGATTTTAGAACGTGTATAGTTATATCCGTGTTGTTATACTTTCCTATGCGTATTATCCAGCATCAATAATTTCTTAAAACTCTCTTTAAAGTAAACACAATAAACATTTTGCCGAAATGCTTGTCTTTACATCGAGAGCGATGTCCATAACAGATGCATTTTCACAAAATGTCGTTACGTCATTCGTACTTTCGTTTTCCTTCTCCCAGGTCAGATTTTTCTTTCAGTGTTTCCATAGTGATTAACAAGTCACAGTGACCTGGTTGGCGGACTGCTTTGTCATATTTGAGTGAGTTGAACAATGTTAGATATCATGTCACGGTGACTTGCTGGTATCACTGGTTGACTAGTCGCATAGCAGGAGTGCCTCTGTGTCGTCTCGGGCAACAACTTTTTATGCAAATTGTGTGAGTGGTGGGTGCTACAAGTAGGGCAGGGCATGCCTACTGTTTTGTCACAACACCTGGTGTCATCACCGATTTTCAGGAATTCATTCATATAATTTTCACCGCTATTTTGCCTTTTACGCCTAATCGAATCTGTCTTAAATGATAAATAAACATTGGACTTTCTAGAGTAACCTGTAAGTGGTCATCAAAGAACACTGACCGAAATCGTTTTACGTTTTTATTCATCGTTGTGTACCCCGCCCATCCCATGCTACTGTCGACCCAACTAATGTGAAATGTCACTTTTTGCCACCAAACACCACATCGCACATTCAGCCACTAGATGCCGGGATCATAAAGAATTTCAAGCTTTATTATAAGAAACAGCAAATGAAATTAAACCTCGACAATGTTGATGCTGAAGAACCACAAGCCCTAGACGTCAAGCGAGCAGGGGACTTTGAGAATTAATGTGCCTATAAAATGTGAGAAACAGAAAAGACCGACAGACTATTTTAAGTAGATGAAGCAAGTTGTTAAGACAGTAGCACTTGCATTTACACGAGGAAACGTGTGTCGTTGATGTGATAAATTCAGTGAGTAATGTCTCTATTGTTATGTATAAATAGGAAAATTATTATTATTTTTGCAATGTCATTAATTATAAATTAAGGAATGAATGAATAAACAACATAACAATATAAATATTTCGTTTTTAATGATTTTATTACAAGGTACACACGGTTATAATCTATCGTGAAGACGTCCGATTTCCGATCACAAATCACTTAATTTCGTTAATCCGACATACTCGTTAATCCGACACAATCATGTGCAACTAACGATGTCGGATTAACGAGACTTGACTGTATATGTATGGCCATTATACTACTAAAAGGGGGTAATGCCGAAATCACGAATTGGTCAATTCCGATATGGATAATACAAGGCGTTTACAACAAAATATTGCCCAGTTTGTCAGCACGGGCTTATTTCAATAAAATAACACTATAATACACTATATACACTAACTGCATGTGATATATAGTGGCCTATATCAAACTTCAATTATAAACAACAACTACTTGTACATTTGTGTACTGATACACAATGAAAACGTATTATCAAAGTTAACTCGAAGGACAATAATACAATATTTGCTGGCATGACAAAGAATGATGACTATGACAAAATGACATTGTTGTGTATGATTATCGCATGTCTAAATACACTCAACTCAATTTGATTTTTGTGACCATTTTGTCAAACATTACCAAATATCGATTATACATTTTCAAAGTGTTTCTATACATAAAAAAGGAATTAGGCACTTGGACAAAGAAAAACAGATCATGTTACAAGTAGTTTTGGGATTATGATAACATTACAACAACCACAAACGCACGGCTGATATACGTTAATTAACATATAACTTCCTGAATGAGAGACGGTTAGCTTAGGCTATCTAATAGTGTGTGTGTTTTATCGCTTCTATATTCCTATCCCTCTACTCGCTGTTTCATTTCTCATCCCTCTAATGTTATCATGCTGCTAATATTAGACATCATCGCAAGACAATAACCAGTCTCGATTATCCGACGAAACAAGTTCCACTAGGAGTAAAAGTCATAATAGCGGTGACAATTACATGAATGGATCACTGAAAGCTGTTCGCTGCCCAACCTGTGGAGTAACACCAGTTATGATTTGCTGACAGAACTGCTTTCGAACATATCGATCGTCGATCGTCGTGTGTGTGTGTGTGTGTGTGTGTGTGTGTGTGTGTGTGGTACACTGTCAAAATATAAAGCAAGTGAAATTATTACATTGCCTGTCGTTACCATATCTACGGCCTGAATTTTTTATATCTGCAGCCTGCTCTTTTCCATAATTTACAGGAACATTATGATCAGATACGTTTATTAATTAAAAAAATGACATTGACATTTGAAGTGTTTCGACTTTGACGTGACCCCCAATTCGTAGACATCCATTTGAAATTAACTCTACGTTATGACCGGTATCTTATCTGAGATACGCAATCATCCTTGGTCAGAGGCAAACAAAACATACGAGCGTTGATTATCAGTAACGGAAGAATTGCGTAACGGTGACATATTTTGCAGTGGATATTACAAGATGTCATAAAAGTATATTAACAATATGAGCAATAATTGTTTCGCTGTGACGAGGCAGTAAATAAGCAGGGGGTCTATGAACTTGGGAAATGGATAAACAAGAAGTACGTGCAGTGATCAAATTCTGCAGAAAGAGGGCTGAACACCGAAAGACATCCATGAAGATATATGTAAAATACTAGAAAAGGACAGGAAACACCGGTGTGGTGACATATGTTCCTGTGCGTGTCATAAATCAGGTAAAGTTATCCAACATTAGTCGCTGAGTGTAGTTTGTTGGGTGACCGTGATCGGCAACTTGACTGTTAACAATCCAGTTCCTCCCAGGCAGCCTGTGCTGCTTGCTCCACAGTAAGCTGAGAACGAATATCAAATTCTGCAGAAAGAGGGCTGAACACCGAAAGACATCCATGAAGATATGAGTAAAATACTAGAAAAGGACAGGAAACACCGGTGTGGTGACATTGGTCCTGTGCGTGTCATAAATCAGGTAAAGTTATCCAACATTAGTCGCTGAGTGTAGTTTGTTGGGTGACCGTGATCGGCAACTTGACTGTTAACAATCCAGTTCCTCCAAGGCAGCCTGAGCGGTTTGCTCCACAGTAAGCTGAGAACGAATATCGGGTGCACATTGATCCATTGACCGGGTTAATAATGGTGTCAGCGCTTTGAGCTTTTTCTACCTGAGGCTCAAAAGTTATCAATCACTGTTCGTATCATAATTCATGTTTTAAACGGTTTTAAGGGCATATATAGTGTTGAACTCTCGAGCCACATGCTGTGAGGGGACACGCTCTTATGTTGCGGGCACACGGGTCGCATGATACGGCGTGACAACAGGGAAGAAAGATGGTACTGACAGTTTCATTGGAGCAAACTTGACATAATCCTTTGTCTGCGAAAAATGAAGCTGGGCCTCTCTCTTCCAACAGAGCAGGAAGTAGAAGCAGAGGAGACATCGTGCACGGGCCTCTTCCACAGTATCCTGTCAAATATCAGTGATCTACATGATGACATTGTGTGGATATTTACCAGTTTAAAAACATCGCGCTGCTAAAGGCCTTTCTCTTGGTGAAAATTTACATATTTGGTGTGAGTGAGTGAGTTGGATTTAATGCCGCCTTTAACATTATTCCAGTTATATCACGGCGTGTCAACTTAATGTGGGGGGAAAGCCCGAAGTGATGCAGGTCTCAGACGTTTACCACTTCGGTGAAACCCACGAGCACGGGTATGGTGCTGACAGACCTAGAAAGATAATCGGGGCGAACCGGGATTCGCACCCACAATCATAGGTTTCTGGCGTGCCCAAGGGACGCATCTCTGCACAGCGAATCGCGGCGCCTTAGACGACTGGGCCACCCGTGCCCCCTACATATTTGGAAGTATTGGGTGCGTTAGTGACATGGGCTTCACACCGCTTTGAACAGTATTTCATTTATATCACGGCAGGTAAACTGAATGTGGTAAGGAAGTGATGCGGGTCTCAAACGTTTACCACATTTGTGAAACCTGCATATACCGATACAGGATGCTGAGAAATGAGTCGAATCTTGGATTCAAACCAATCATAAGGTTTTGGCACGCTTAAGGGACCCAGCTCTGCACAACTAATTATGTGACTTTCGTGCACCTCTTGGCAGTCGTGATTTAGAAGAAGTTATTTTCATGAAAAGATTGATAGACTTTATATGATCACATTACCTCCTTGTTCAAGAACGTTTAAAGCCGCGCTTGATATTTCTTGTTGACTAAAGCCCATTTCAAGACATCTGTAGAACACATCGAGAAGCTCTGAAGAATATAAAAACGAGTAGTCATCAGCTACTTGAGTCTGTTGTCACCTTTCGAAAACACCTTGACGTCAAAGTTTTTCTTTACTTGCATATTAACGATATGGCACACACTGTTCTTTTTACATAACTAAACACTGATAACAACTTTGAGATATATGTGGTCTTCCAACCAAATAGCAGGTAAAAGCTTCATAACCCTTTCCACAGCCACAAGCCATCTCTGCTAAATAGTATATTGTACGATTCCAGCTGTATCATGAGTGATGATAACAAGGATTCGCGAATGGTTGATCGTATTCTGCCCCACCGGTGACACGCGCAACCGGCACATGCAAAAGTAAATCAATTATTCAATTAAAAAAAGGGAATTGCATCGGATATCATTTTTGGCACTTATGAGAAACTTTAGAAATGTCCGTCTCATGTCTACCATAAATTGTTTTGAAAGCTTTACTGGTGGAAGAGCATGAATGAGTCGTTTGGCGCTCTTCGTAGAAAGAGCATGTTCGATTGTACCTAAAAAAACTGACATGTAGATATATATAGGCTGGAGCTGCTGGAATATTGCTCGACATGAAGGGAAAAGACAATTGGAAAGTTGAATTCATCCCTCTTCACACAATCTTTTGGAGAGTGTTTTGACACTCTTAATTTGTTTGCATAGATCTAAGTATGATACAGATCTCCTGGTATCTTTTATTTTTAGTTCAGGTGAGTAAATCCGTTGAAAGGAATGGGCTATTTGATGGTTATTGAACGATATCAGATCATCAATATACCTAAAGCTCAACTTAAATTTCTTGACCAAATTACCTTGTATTGACTTTGCCAGTCCGAGCAGAAATTCCGATTCATATGCATAACCAGACTGATCAGCAAGACGAGCAGAACAGATCATGCCAATGGGGATGCCAACCTCTTGCCCAATGTCTTACCCAAATATTTTACATAGATGTTATCAATAAGGAAGTCCAGAATTTCACATACTGATTCTCAGCAAACTTCAGTTGGCATTTGCTTTCATTTTTTTTACAAATTGCCCTGCATCATTGATGATAGATATATGACTGTGATGTGGATCAAAGAATGAAGAATTTTGTGTACAAGTGGCAAAGCGGTGTACAAAGTTGAAAATCAAATGTTCTAACAGAATATAACGGCTTGTCAAGATAGTTCTGTTCCCCTTAAGTTGTTACTTGTGAGCTTTAGGGTAAAAACAAAATCCACTCCTCGAACCCTCTCTCATTTTGAACAGCTGTCATAATAGGACTCCAAAACAAGCATACATTTGTAAACCAGACATGCCAGGTAGCATGAGAATTAGTAAATGTTATGTTCCTGCATCGGTATTAATAACACAAGACATCGTGTCATTTTGTTTCTAACCAGAAATGCTGGACTGAATAGACAGTTGTTAATCATTAAAAGTTAAATGTATTCCAAAAGATTGCAAGCAATACTCACCAACGCCCCGTCTGTCTGTGAGAATACCATTTTGACGCTCATGGATTGTCTGTGAGAATGTAAAGAAGTGTTCTTATCAATGCATTATTGTTATGCTACATTGTCGTCGCGTTTCAAACAATCCTGTAAGTATTGTATTGTATATAATACACATGTTTCTGGCAACGTTGTTAAACGTCAGTCAACTTTGGCCATGAAATCATGAAACTTTCTATTACGCCCCACGCTCCATTTAGAAATTGTCACATTCTGGAAGTGTGGTCTTCCCAAAACTACTTTACATAAGATCCGGGGTAGAATAGGTCTTCAGCAACCCATGCTTGTCGTAAAAGGCGACTATGCTTGTCGTAAGAGGCGACTAATAAACGGGATCGGGTGGTCAGGATCGCTGACTTGGTTGATGCATGTCATCGGATCCCAATTGCGTGGATCGACTCTCATGATGTCAATCAATGGATTGTCTTGATTACAGACAGCCGTAATTCAACTGGAATATTGCTGAGTGCGGCGTTAAACAACAAACAAACAAACATTTCCTGGATATAGGCCTCACTCAGATCCTCCCCTGTTTCGTGAACACCTGGTGTTATTTTTGATGATATATGATGTTCCATAAGTCATATACCCCTGATGCATTTCATGTGAAATCGTTCAATCTCATTAAAATCAGATCTTAGTTCTCGCTATCGCTAAACAAAGATCTGAGGACATCCCATTAAGGGTCACGTCAGAACGACCTTTCATCCGACCAATCAGAGCGTCGCTTACCAAATCATGAAAGTGACAGTCGGAATGTGTTTTCTAATCATGCAGCCACGAAATATTTAACACGGGGTATTCCGAACGACAGTTACGGGTTTAACGACTGAATCCTTACAATGTAGATAAAATATGTTTCGAAGCGTAGCCGCCAGTTTGAAACTAGTGGCGTAAAGCTCGAGAAAGCTGCCTTCTGATTGGCTAATGTCGATTTCTTGTCAGTCATTTCATTGGTCAGTCAAAATTTGCGAAAGGTCGTTCTGACGTGACCCGTAATGGGATTTATCATATAATGGGTAGGTTTCTCGGCAGGATAAAGCCAACGGATAAAAACGATATCCGTTGGGGTCATATGCGGATAGAGATGCAAATTTCAAAGGTCAAGTAGGGACTACTTTCAGTGTTTATAAACAACATGGCGTCGCCCTCGTCATTCGGCGATCGAGTCAGAATTAACCATCAGGAATCTGGATAAACTACAGGGATAATTGCTATCATTATCAAAAGAACAGACTAATATACTGAAAATCAGTGTCTAACTGTGACGTAGCTAAGGCATTTTATAATTTTTGGCAACTTTGGAGATATAAATTTCGAAACAATTTTGCGAGGGCACGAGGCCTAGCCAAACGGGATCAGTAGCCATATCTGTGCTTGTAGACCTCTGCGGCTTGAAAACTTCTCCACAAATTAAAAAAGTTGGATTTGGTCGAAATATGTTTGAATTGTTACCTTGTTTCGTTTTGTCGCTGTGTGCACATCTGATTACACTTCTTAACGTTATGACAGGACAGACCGACTGTCAACAACGTCTGACCGTGGCCGTGACGTCTCACAGACTAGGGTTAGAGTAGCTTCCCTTTGACAAAGGGCAGTTACGCTAGCGGACAGACCGATGGATGGCCGCGAAAGGCAATTGAAAACAATTGTTGTTTTGCGTATATGTTGCTTCGCCACTGTATAAGAAACAGATTTCAGTTGGAACTATTATACTGGCTACTGTCAATGTCCGACTGACACATCACTTAAACTGTGACGTCATAAATATTAATGCGCGCAATCCAGGAAAACTCGCAATGTTTCGGTAATGTTTGTGAGAGAGGGAAAGCGATTTTGAAGCACAGAATTAAAGACTGACATTATATGATAAAGAGGTTCTCACGCTTGTGTGTTTGGGGATGGTAAATATCCTGTATTAGGAATAAACACTATGTATTTAGCTCGCCAAGGCTCGCTAAATACAATGTTTATTCCTAATGCAGGATATTTACCATCCCCAAACACACTCGCGTGATAACCTCTATGTCCTCAGATCTTTGTAGAGCGGTACCGAGAACTAAGATCTGATTTTAATGAGATTGGAAATCGTTAAGCGTAGAGGTTTTCTACGGCATCGAACTTTCCATGCAATGACTTACCTGAGAGGCGATTGTCGCAGTGATGTGTATGTAGTATCGTTGTCGTCGTCTCACAGATGTTACAAATTCACACCTTGGGCTCCATTGGACGTGTTCTTCCCAAGGGTTTTCCCCTGGCTCCCAGTCACTCAAGATAACCCCACATGCAAAACACCGGACTCTGTCAGATGTTCCTGAAAACAATACTATGGGTGAGAAACTTGACTCTAATAATACACATATACTCTTACTTCCGAATGCTTAATTCATGGACACTCCATTATACATAAAGGTAAACCAACAATACTTCTCCTTTTACAGACAAACGAAGATGTGTATACTGTTACTGTATAAAATACATTAAACCTCAAACAACAATGCTTGTGCCTTCTGGTATAATAATTCCTATAACCAGAGAATTTGAAGACACATTTGCATGTATAAATGGATTTCAAATTGTATATGTCATAATTTACCTAAACAATAGCATCCTGCATTGGCTAGTTCTTCAAGCAAAGGGTTTTGAATGTCATGATGACAGTTTAAGTGTTGATATGTTTGCAGCCTTTCCCTCGAATTGTGGTAACGATGGACATTTGTGTTAGTATGCTGACTCTCTGCAATGTTTTCCTGGCAAGATACAGATTGTGGTGGCGGATGAATATCATGGTCATGCGGAAAGGCAATCTGACTTTGAGACTGTATGTCAGATTCCGTCGGCAAAGCGTTTTCTTCAAAACGTATATTCCGAGCATTATGTCTGGAACAATCCTCGGCGTGGAAATCAGCAGGCTTGTCCCCTCTTCTCCAGTTCCTGTGCCTGATTCCGCAGCTAAAGCATCTTGTCTCGTCGTCATCTTTTGTAGCTAAGACAAGGGCTGATACTGCAACACTGACGCCATTAAAGGATTGTACACGCATTGACTCAAACCTCATGAATTCTTGGAGAGGTATGCCATTTCTCCGCACTAATGCACAGAAGTCTCCACGCAGAGGAATTGATGGAAATTAAGTCAGACGGGTGAAGGGAAACTCACAGTGCCAGAAGTTATCCTTCACAGATGGAATCGGGTGATTTTTGCTTCCTTTTAAATTACCAGCACCAATAGGAACACTGCTCCTGTAGACATGCGTCTGTCAATCTCCATCACTAGTATCATACCACACCATTTCCTACATTTGTGAAACTGCTTCATCTTCTCCATTTTTGAATGTTTGGACTGTTCCTGTATATGTCCTCTCTCTACTGTCTTTCGTCAGCATAGACAAGAACTGATTGCCTTGCGATTATGGATGAATCTCGATCTAGATATAAAAATATGTACGATGGGTCAAAAGACATGTATTCAATTATAAAATGTTGAATAACATGATAAATGATGCAATATGCCAACGGTTTCCATTTCGTATTGTTAAGTTATCATGGATCGAAATAGTGAAAGGAATTTAATCTTCTAATGATAATAACCACATTTGTATATCCATATCTGTAAACTGCAAAAAATTAAACCTGAAATTGCATAACCAATTACATTTAGGAATACACGCATGACGTTAAATTATTTAGTAGCTACAAATTAAAATCGTTACTGTACCTCCAATCTTAATGTTTTGCTGTACAATTTTGGAATATTCTTTCACCCGTCGATTCACCACAGAAAAAGAGCCAGTAAACAGAAACATTGGCAATCACTTGCCCAAAACGCAGTAAGCCATCATGCGAGTCGTTAACCCGCACCTGCAACGCTATCAGAGGGGTGTCCCCACACCCGCCAGGGTCGATACCCAGTAGACAGAGACCCCATGACAACCCATCCACGTCAACACCAGTAGTAGCCTATCTATGAAAGGCAGCAAGCAAATATGAGGCACATATAGAGGCGAGCAAATCTTACACAGACTTTATTCACAACGTTGAAAATGGGTATGAGGAACTATGCTTGCCTGCTTGTATATCCAGTATTAAGAATGCTGATAAGATACACGTATTTGAATGCTATTTAATTCTACCATGACATTGATGACTGCTTGATTCTGATTGGTTAAAAAGAGGTTTCCTTTTTGCTGATCGATTTGAACTGTAAAACGTATGTATATTTCCTCTAATACACGCTGGGTGTCTAATACCAGCCATTTCTCTAATACATTCCGAGTCAAGGGCTCTCGCGAAATTGAAAGACGGCACAGCGTTAATTAGAGGAAATACGGTAATTTGATATCGTATGTTTTGGGCGTTCTAGGCCGCAACCCTGACTGGTTCGATGATGACATTAAAAGATTTAACAAAGGCATATCTTTTGCATACAAATGAAATGTTTATGAAACTGTGAGGAAAATGTTCTATGGTGACCATGGCCAGAATCAGAACAATTTAAGCTATTTCCTCATTGAAACGATCGAAGTGAAAGTATTGTTTGAAAAAACTTTATTCATGACAAAATGTTGTTTACAAACCTTTTTGTGATCCATTTTTGTGAAAGTCCAATCGAAAAGCCATGAAAACAATGTCCCGACATCATTGAAGTCAAACTTGATGAAATTCATTTCAGAACACGCACACATTAAGAAAATCATACACGACCCACTATTTCTGGGCCACGAATGTCTCATTCCATTCACACTCTGACTTGGAATCAATGAAGATACTGAGATCTACCGCGTGTCAAAATGTGCGGCTCGTCTGCAGGCTAAAAGGCGGCTGTTGAGTCATACTCAGTTCCATCGGTAATCATATTGTACCAGCGTGCTCGATCATTCCCAGTAAATCTACAGGTTAAGGTTAAACCACATCATAGATCGGTGTTGACATCTTCCTTCATTTGACTACCAGCGGAGAATGTAAACACCAGATTGTCGGCCAATGACAAGGCTGCGAGGTGTGAGTAACCGTGATTTAGATCACGTTCTGCCACATCCAAGTTTGGGTTTGAGAGGCATTATATTGATGTTATCATTGTTTACTGGGGGTAATTGCTAACTAACTAATAACACTTACACATGTTAAACATGTATAACAGACTGTTAATTCAAAAAGTATGTTGTAGAAATATATTCGTTTAGCATTTTTAAACCTTTTTCTACAACCTGTCACCCCCACAAAAGAAATGATGGCATGTTCGATTTCCAAGAAATCCCCTCGCTCGCAAAATGCCAAGCAATCAGCCCAAACAGTGTACAACAAGTTGGTAGAAATTTAAACATCTGTCTTTGGACTTAGTTTGGATGGTTACTTGTCATCTTCTATTGAAAAACTGTTTGATGAACACTTATTTTGAACTACTCACGACTATGGTGTTATTAATCTTGAACTTTAGTAATAATTGTTACATAAATAACAACCTGTGACCACTTTCGGAATGTTCTAAGATTGCGGATCGTTGTACCCTGAGTTGTTACATTTTGCATGGAGATAAACCTACTGTGTTTTGAAATTTGATGTAGTCCCACTGTAATTTGGAAAACCGAAATTAAAATACAGAGGTATCTACTCTACAGTGGGACTACATCACATTTCAAAACACAGAAGGTTTATCTCCTGAATAGACAGTGTTCTAAAAATAGTTCCAAGTCATATAGTGTCATATCGACAACTAGATTTGTGGACCACATCTCGATCAGACTGGTTTTCCCTACACACAACTAAAAACAAAACTGTTTTTTTCACAATGATATGTTCAAAACAACTTGTACAACCTGTTGGCAGGTCGTTATGCTCCAGCAAACATAAGATTAAGCCGACATCAATGCCGTGCAGGCTGACAATACAAGCATATGGAAATGTGACGTTTCAATAAAAGGAACATTCAGCTGCAAGGTTAACACATGTTTTTTATCTCCTGAGAAAGAGGGGCAATCGAGTAGCCTGCATGTAGTGGTTAAAAGCGTTCGCTCGTCACGCTGAATTCTCGCATGGTGTTCTCTGTAAACGTTTGCGAAGGGTCTAAATCTCCTGTCGTGTTGCGCTTACTATGATATATTGTTCATGTAAATTCTAAATGCGATTTAGTATGTGAATTGCCCTTTGTTCTAAGCATTGTTGTTCCATGACGAAACTTATAAACAAATTGTGTCAACATGATTCTCTAAAATGACATTAATTTCACTGAACAAGGAGTTCCCAAAATGGTGACACATTGTTTACGGTAGATGGCAAATTACCGATGGAATTATGCCTAAATATACGTAACTGAATACGGTACAGTAGTATCTAATTAAGACTAGTGGAAGTACAAAAGTACCAAACTACAATGTGAATAGGATGGATATCCCATGGAAATATGCAAACTGCAATCTAATACACACACACATACTTAGCCACATGACCCGTGAAGATCCAGGGTAGAAAAGGTCTTCAGCAACCCATGCCTGCCGTAAAAGGCGACTATGCTTGTATTACGAGACGGGATCGGGTGGTCAGGCTCGCTGACTAGGTTGATGCATGACATCGTATCCCAATTGCGTGGATCGATGCTCATGATGTCAATCACTGGATTGCCTGGTCCAGACTCGATTATTTACAAAGCTGGAATATAGCGGCGTTCAACAACAAACAAACAAACTTAGCCACATATGTTAACAGGTAGGATATACTGTGAACATAAGCTTCATCCAAACATTTGTAATTAGACAAAATGACCAATCAAATAAATATGCAGGGGTGTACCATTCACAGTATCATCTTTTTACCCTGCAGTTATATTACAATGTCGACTGCCTCATTGGTCTAGTGGTAGAGCGTCCACCCGGAGAGCGGAAGGTCCGGGGTTTGATTCCCGGCCGCGTCATACCAAAAGACGTTAAAAGATGGTACTTGTTGTTACCCTGTCTGGCGCTCGGCATTAAGGGGCTAACACAAGGACTGGTCGGCTCGGAGTCAGTATACTGTGTCTGAGTGGGGTATTCATTGTTAAACTGCGGCATGGTATCTCAGTGAGCTAGCACTATAAATCGGCATCAGTCCGGACTACTACAAGCAGCCAGACAAACACACACACGTGCATGCATATCGCTATATAAGTGCAATAATCTTGGACGCGACGTTAAACCCCATTTCACCTCACCTATTACAAATGTCAACATTATAATTAGCGTACGAGCGAGCAGTTGAAACGATGTCTAAATGTCTGATGACAGACGATCACATCATATGATTTTAGGATTTACACATTCTCAGTGTTATGTTTTACCAGACGTTCCAACTTTCTAAAGGTATTTTACTCTCGTATTATCAGTTACGGACGCCATATATAACTACTATTAACATCAACTGTATTAGAATAATGTGAGGTAAGGAACAGACGACAAATAACCTTTCGTTGTTGACATAACGATGATATTTTTTCTCACTGACGTACGTCGTATGAGAGGTCGAATACATTAAGTAAGAACGAAAATCTACTAAACAACGTAGAATATTCAAAGCACGCGTTGAGAACCTACAAATACATCGCATAATGTCACATTATAGTCGTTTTTTTCCTTTTCCTGACATACAGTAACACACGTATCTGACAAGAGATAGTCACAATTCCCTTGTCCTCTCATTTATCTAAGCAACCAGAAGTTGGAATATCTAGGGATCGTTTCCTGGGTTCTAATCCTAGAGTGAGTGAGTGAGTTGGGTTTAACGCCGCTTTTAACATTATTCCAGTTATATCACGGCGTGTCAGCTTAATGTGGGAGGAAAGCCCGAAGTGATGCAGGTCTCAGACGTTTACCACTTCGGTGAAACCCACGAGCACGGGTATGGTGCTGACAAACCTAGAAACATAATTGGAGCAAACCGGGATTCGAACCCACAATCATAGGTTTCTGGCGTGCCCAAGGGACGCAACTCTGCACAGCGAATCGCGGCGCCTTAGACGACTGGGCCACCCGTGCCCCCCTCTAATTCTAGATTTCCAGTCGAGTCGTTTTACAAGTAGTCGGCTCCCTTGCTAATGTACACAGACGTACTATTGATATGCTGTCGACAAATACATAATAGATTTGAAGCCGATCTCATTTTGCTTGGTGTTATCAAGGTGTTCGCCACGCGTTTTCAGAATGACGTCTGTTTAAAAGTCTTCTAATTGTGTAAGTGATCACTTTTGTCAAATCATTTCCGCGTGTAAGTTAACATTAAGAATCATGCCAGTGTTTAATACATATCACTCACGCTTACAGAGTAGTAGCGTGTGAAGGTATGCGGCATACTCTATTCAGATTGGCTGTCGTTGGTGACGCAAACAGGCAGTAAACGTTCTGCCATGCTCGGCGTGTATGGCTGTTGCTAATCGTTATATCTGTTGGCTAACCGGCAAACAGGGGTGAAGATGTCCAAATCATCGCAAGACAATAACCAGTCTCGATTATCCGACGAAACAAGTTCCATTGGGAGTAAAAGTCATAATAGCGGTGACAATTACATGAATGGATCACTGAAAGCTGTTCGCTGCCCAACCTGTGGAGTAACACCAGTTATGATTTGCTGACAGAACTGCTTTCGAACATATCGATCGTCGTGTGTGTGTGTGTGTGTGTGTGTGTGTGTGTGTTTGTGTGTATGTGTGTACATGTACAAGTCCGGAATTATGCCATTGTTATAGTGATAGCCCAATGGATAACCCAATGAGACACATACCAGTACATATATGTTAAATACGTTCTTTGGTATGACCCCGTCAGGGGATCGAACCATCGACCCTGCGCTCTCCGGGTAAATGCTCTATCCACTGACTCACAAAGAAAACATACGCTTTATTGGATGACCGAGACATATAATGGTTCGAAGGGTATTGTTCTCCAATAACTATGACATTGTCGAATACAAATGTTGATAATAAATCGTACTTTATTGAAAACTATTAGGTCTTAACACAAGTAATGTGATCATGACGATATCACATATTGATCAGCAAGGTTACTTTCACATTGAAAACAGGAAAAAGGACTGTAAGGGTTTTATCAATTTATTCAAAACAATTATTTGAAAAGTTATTCTATTATAATGCATATGTGTCACATACTAGATACCAGTTACTGTTTGCCTACATCAATAGATTTCACTAAGCCAAGAAGTAGTTTTGAAATAGTGTTAGAAATTGGAGCTACTAGTCGTGAGTGTAATCTGCTATATCTTTTTAGTTATCATTTCTAATGATGAGACCTATACTGACAGAGTTATATTATAAAGTGAGTGTCCACAGAGAGAACAAAGTCTTCAACACACAGCTTCCTCGAGATGACAATTTCTGTACAAACAGAACCAACTTCTCTAATCCTTGTCCACATGTAAGGTGAACATAAACAACTCATGTAATTTGTGTCTGCAGAGAGAACAAAGTAGGAAATGTGTTTAACACGCATATTCCTCAAGATAACAATTTCTATGCAATTGCCACATCCTCAAGATGAAACAACTCCTGTAATTTGTGTTCGAAGAGAGCACAAAGTTGGAGTAGTTGTTTACACACATAGTCCTCAAGATGACAATTTCCATGTAAAAGCCACATCCTCAAGACGAACAGAAACAACTCCTGTAATTTGTGTTCGAAGAGAGCACAAAGTTGGAGTAGTTGTTTACACACATAGTCCTCAAGATGACAATTTCCATGTAAAAGCCACATCCTCAAGACGAACAGAAACAACTCCTGTAATTTGTGTTCGAAGAGAGCACAAAGTTGGACTAGTTGTTTACACACATAGTCCTCAAGATGACAATTTCCATGTAAAAGCCACATCCTCAAGACGAACAGAAACAACTCCTGTAATTTGTGTTCGCAGAGAGCACAAAGTTGGAGTAGTTGTTTACACACATAGTCCCCAAATTGATAATTTCCATGTAAAAGCCACATCCTCAAGATCAACAAAAACAACTTCTGGAATCCTTGTCCACATACGGAAAGTTCATTGATCGATTTGCACACATTGTATTCCTCTAGATCTGGGCAACCACTTGATTGATGGTTGACAGGATTCTGTGGAGACTCCATATGTTGACATATGTCTCCCACACCCACGTCAGTTGAGGCTTCCAGTTTTTCTCTGCTTTGCTTTTGCTCTGTAATGGTTTACAAAATATAGGCATGACAGTCCAGCGTTAAATGTTTATTCTGAGTGAGTGTGAGTGAGTTGGGTTTAACATCGCTTTTAACAATATTCCAGTTATATCGCGGCGTGTCAGCTGTATGTGGGAGTGATGCTCGTCTCAGACTTTTACCACTTCGGTGAAACCCACGAGCACGGATATGGTGCTGACAAACCTAGAAACATAATCGGGGCGGACCGGGATTCGAACCCACAATCATAGGTTTCAGGTGTGGCCAAGGGACGCAACTCTGCACAGCGAATCGCGGCGCCTTAGACGACAGGTCCACCCGTGCCCCCTGTTTACTCTGAGAGAAGCACATGTATACATCTGTGAGTGTACTGCAATGCCCACTGCTATTTTTATGGGCCATTATAAAACAATGGCGCTTAATAATATATTAATAAGAGAGAAATAAGATTATTTATTGAATGAACATAAGATATTAAGGTGTATTGATAAAAGTGAGGGGTAATTCAAATCTTTAGCATAACTACTTACGGAACTCATCTTGTTCACTTAATTCTGGCATGTCAAACTTTTCCATTTGTTTGAACTTTTGTAGATTAAAATTCATTTTTTGCTTCATCTGTCTTGTCTTTTTCTGTTGACTGTTCAGAATTAACAGACTATTATATGAGGTAAATAATAATGATTTAATAAAATCGTCCTTGTTGTAGTGGTCTTCTGCTTCTCCCGGTGAAGTACTTTTAAGTGGAAGTGTTATCATATCTGGAAAGTAATTTAAACAGTTACTCGAGAGAAAAAAATGTTTTATAGCCTGTGTTATAAGCTGAGATATTGCGCAAACGAGTAGGTTTGTGAGGAAGCAATTATTGACTCTTTGACGATTTTTCTTACGCGGTCATATCAGAATAGGGAAACAACACAAACATATATGCAAACTTCTTGTTGTCGAAGAGTTAGGAAATTTCGATTTATTTAGCTCACAGATTAACCATGATCCTTTTTCTTATACATGAGAAATATTTCATAATCCACATTCATTGTGAGGGTTTGTATAGTTTTCTTTTTCAATGAGATATTTCCATATCACTTACCAAAATGTGCTTCCGGTTTTCCTTTTGAAAATAACATTTGTTGACTTGCTGCTGAGGAATCCAGCGCCCTTTGAACATCTTCAGTATCACTTGCTACTAAGTCTTGACAAACCTCATTTCCAACAACTTCTAAGGTATGGCCAGCCTCTCTGATTGACACGTCATCTTCTGTGTATTCTTCTGTCATGTTGGTGTTCTGAATTGAGACATTTCTTTCATCAGTGGCTGTTGCATGCGTGCATGTCGGAGAAATTCGGATATGAACTATAAAGGGGTTATCCGTGCGTCTCCAGTGTCTGTGTGTTACTCTGCAGCTGAAACACCTTGTCTCATCACCATCTCCTGTAGCATAAAACCCTGATGCAGCCAGTTGCAGTTGAGAAGTCTCAATATGTATGCCCTGGAATGATATCAGTCTCAACACTTCATACACCATCTGATCCTCAACATTGTGATTCCTGGTTATAACTTCCCGGAATCTATTAATATTGTTGAAGAGCGGGTATAAAACTTGTTGTTGATTTGCGACTCTAAATCTTCCCAAATCAAAACATTTCAAAACATCCAGACCTGGCTTTTCACTTTCTAAGGGCTTCCGTTCAGTTGTATCTGCTTCAGGGTCATGGAGAGCGCTGAGGTTTTCCATCATCGTGGTCAGCACTTGTGGCGTCAAACTATGTGACAGCTCGCCAAAAGGTACATCCGATTGTTGTGTTTTCGCCCCCTCCGGCAAACTGACATTTTCTTCATTCTGTTTGTGTGTCGCATCAAAAACTCTGTCATGCAATAATGTCTGAATTTCGCCAACAAAATAATTACTCAATGAGAATTTACGTCCTTGTTTGTCAGTACTGATACAGACATGTTCAGCCTGTTGGCTGTAAGTTGATGACTCTGTCACATATAAATTCATTCGAAATTTTAAAATATTATTTTTCCTTATCCCTTTCCACATTTTACATTCGTGTAAATAGTTTTGTAAAGAGAGTTGAGAAAGTAGAACTTCCGTTTCTTCTTTCAATTCTTCTGTTTCATTGTCATCTTTGCATTCATCCTCTTTGCCATCTTCATGTTTTCCTTCAGATTCTGATATAGCTTCCGATATTTCTTCAAGCAACAGCGCTAGCGTTTGCACAAATATACTCCAATCCTCAAAGAACTCTTCAGTAATAACAATTTTATTAAAAAGTTTCTTGTGCATATTTGTCTTTTTTCCGCCACGAATTGACTTACCTCTGAAACCACCAAATCGGAATATGGATGTAATTCCGTTTGTTATTGTGCTATCTGCATATGGTGTATCGTTCTCTTCAGTATCAAAGTCTGTGACTCCAGGCGGCATTGTATTGACCTGGAAAGGAAAATATATGTTACATCAGAAGACTATAGCACCGATAACTATAAATATTTCAACAGAACCTGTGATTAGAATAACTCTCCATCAAACGTTAAGGACATATCAGATATAAATATGATATTTTGTGAAACAGACAGTATTATTGACACCGCCGAATATCCAGGAACATACTTTTTTAACAGATATTCAGATTTTTCTCTCAAATATTATTTGAATACATGCCGCAACTAGAAAAAAGCAAAAAGGTTTCAATATGACTTTTCAATGAATTCATGGTCTACAGAAATTGTGTTGGGTAGATGCGTCTGTTCAGAGTGTGCGAGTGAGTGAGTTGGGTTTAACGTCGCTTTTAACAGTATAACAGTTATATCACGGCGTGTCAGCTTAATGTGGGAGGAAAGCCCGAAGTGATGCAGGTCACAGACGTTTACCACTTCGGTGAAACCCACGAGCACGGGTATGGTGCTGACAAACCTAGAAACATAATCGGGTCGAAGCGGGATTCGAACCCACAATCATAGGTTTCTGGCGTGCCCTTGTGACGCTATTCTACGCCAGAAACCAATGAAAATCAAAATATATTTAGTATGTTCATATGTACAAATATATACGCATATGTAATGATGTTAAACAACTATTATTTGTTTCAAAGTCTACGATGGGTGTGTTGATATTGATACCCATAAATTCTCATGTAGAATAAGTTCATATAGTAACTGAAGTTTACATGTATTACGCCAACTCTGAACAGCGATGTCTAATGCTGTAAAAGACAACCTTTGCTGTATTTCCTTCAACAAGAATGGCGGACACTTCCGTGCAACGAACTGATATGTAATGACATGGAAAGTAACTTTCCACGGTGTGTGCGTACATACAGAGATGGTAATGATATGGATGTGTTTTACTACGTGAAACTCACCTGTTTCAATGACTGTAATTCCACCTGGTGTGGCAACAAATATAACGAGAAGAGAAGATACGTCCGTTTTTCAAAACGACATTCGTAATCTTGGCGCTTATCCTGGGAAATCCCCTAGCCGTTAATAGAAGAAAATGGAAATCCCCCAACTATTAATAGAACAGTGCGGATCAATGCACTCAAGTTATTTCGGCTGAAACCACGTGGGCCGCAGCAGGCGTGGATCCGTGCTCGGATGTTTTGTAATGGTAGCACTCCTCTTCATTTACATGGCGCTTCATCAATGAATCTTCGTCTTCCGACAATAAAATATGTTTTAAACAACGGGATTTATATTTGCCTTTAATAACGCCTTCATTTGTATGTATTGTTTAAGTGAGTGAGTTGGTTTTAAGCTGCTTTTAGCAATCACCATTAATGTGCATTTAAGTATCAAAATTTTGACTCAAAGGTATCACGATATATCGATAACCAATGAAACTAGTTATTTTGTATGTGTTTCGATAGAATTTGCCCAAATGTAGACCTGCAATTAATCAATTTATTGTTAAATATGAACTGATATGATATTAAGTATTAAGTGTTTAACACTGAATTTTCTGTCTTCTCATTGTCCATCTTAATGATGGTAAATCTGCTGAGTGTAAACGTATGTGCGTCAGGGGTTATTATGTTAGTATTTGACATTCATAAATTTGTATCGTATTGCGACACCTTGGACAAGTATAACTTTCAAATGGATAATGGAATTCGCCACCGTGTGACCATGGGGTACTCGCTTTACCTTACCGGGTCTGCTCAACAGCTGGCTATCAACATCAAATAGCTTAATGCCAGTAAATCAATACAATCATTGGTACTGTCTTTACCCAAAAGTTACACATAACACTGAACCAGGTATTTTTTTATTAATTTAACAAAAATAAAAATATGTTCCATATAATGTACCCTCAGAATGTTTCGGTCATATTCTTATAGACAGACAGTCATTTCATTCGGTAATGTTGGGCCACCAGGGGGCTCTGGTGACGGGATTTCTTATCTAAAAGTGTTAACTATACTTCAGTGAGTTAGTGTGCAAAGTTATATGCATATAAGTCCTAGCACACTGTTTTAGAGATAAACGATTCAAAAGTGTAAACACACATTTAGGAAACTTGGCGGCCATCTTGAAATTGGCGGCCATCTTGAATTTTTGCAGATTTGTCAATGATCGAAAACGTTCAGGAGTTGTGAATATCTTTTTAGAAGCATAACATGGATATTTCGCAAGACAACACATACTTTTTTTCATCAAAACATTGACCCTCATCTGACATATGCAAGATATATTGATAATTGGTGGCCATATTGGATTATGCAAATTAGACATATTTCCCAAACTGGAATTGCTTGGGACCTTTAGTATGTTGTTTTCGGGACCTTGTAGAAATGCATTATGGTAAAATAAATTCTGTTGCAATTTGTTCCAAGTTTAGAGAGAAAATGGCCTAGATTGCCTGGACCTTTGAGGCCAACTGTACAGTTGACGTTTCAGTTTCATTTGTTAGCCACGTGATATACATGATATACAATATCTATCTGACAGAGAATGTATGTTTCTATGCAAATCCTATTGTTTCATAGGCATTACTTCGAAGTTGACGGATGACAAGGTAGACAAAATTTTATGGATAACAACTTCGGTATAGATCCTAATGTCTTGCTTGACAATGGTGAAAGGATCTATACCGAAACGTCGCTTTTTACAGTATTAAAGAAGTTGTTATCAATAAAATTGTGTCTACCTTGTCTATGCTTATACTTTTCTCGAAGATGTTCATACTTATCACATACCAATGAAACATGAATTTCATCCTCAATCTCTCCTCACTGGCAGGTTTTGCAGATACCCATTTCAGCTTCCCTTTTACATTGAAATTGTGTAATGACACAAGAGTTGCCGTGCAATCCAAGTCAATCGGTCAGTCATGATAATCAGTTGGTTGGTTGGTTTGGTTAACGCCGCACTCAGCAATATTCCAGCTATATGACGGAGGACCATCAAGTGATTGACATCATGAGCATCGATCCACACAATTGGGCTCGATGACATGCTCCAACCAAGGGCGTTGAACATTCGAATTAGGTACATGACAAATTACTTAGCTCAGCGGTGCAACGTGTGTACGTATCTGCAGTAACATGAATAGCGTGAGTGACAAGCAGTAGTGAATATTGAGATATATATAGATCCAACACACTTTGTGTCAATCTTCACTCGATAATACTTTACACTTTCCTGATGTGAATCTTACCTGAATACGAATAACTCAAATACATGCCGTTTTACACATAAATAACACACCCACAATGCCGCGGACTCTCGACCAGAACATTGCACACGAGCCCATTTTGTCGGACATAGGAGAGTAGTGACGAATGACTGTGTAGAAAAGGATCAGCCAATCGACGCGAGATAGACAAGTGTGGGTGAGTGAGTGAGTGAGTGAGGGCGGGCGGGCGGGCTGGCGCTCGCTCGCTCGCTAGCTTTTGTTCAACTGTGAGTCATGCCACGACCAACGTGTTAAATGTCTTAGAACTGCATAACAAATTAAGCTGGAATACTGTTAAAGCGGCGTTAAACCCATCACACCCATTCAGAGCGGAACCGCCAAGAAACATAATCAGGGCGAACCGAGACTAGAACCCACGATCGTAGGTCACTGGTACGCCCATTTGATGCGTTTACGTATCGGGTTACCCAAAATCGCACAGAATTAAATTGTGAAATCAGTAAATGACCACACAAAATCAATGAATATTCATAAAATTATATTTAATCACACATTATTAAGTTTACAAATACAATGGTTCAAGTAGGTGGCAGCAGGAATAAGTTACAAGCTCTGGATTTAACGTTAGTGCTCGTTCGAATGTTCAGAATATTGTCACTGTTGATTCGTCATGAAAGTCTCCGTGCTTTGAATCCAAAACAATGTTGGCAGCTGGCCGGAATTTGATGTTTACAATCAGGTATCGAAACCGAAATTTGAAAGTGGATTAGAAACAAACGAGGCCCAAAGGCCTTGAATCGTCTTCTTGTAGCTGAGATATCGGTACATCCAGCCTCTTAGAAATGCCCCATCCTGAAACGTCTCTGACGATTAAGCCTGCCATGCGCATGTACACAACCGAAGCGGATAACTCTAAAACCCTTCTGGAAAGCTGAACTCGATGTGTCGACTGACTTTGTTATTAGTATTATCTTTTGCTGCTACTACAAACAAATTTACACTGAAACTACTTACACATGACAATACAACCCAAGTCATCCTGAATACACAATGTCATTTAATACACAATAGAAAGTGGTCAACGGTAACAAATGTTATATTTGGGATAACACTTTCCTAGTAAAGTACAGGTTCTCGTACTTTTGTGGGTTGAGTCCCGTCCGGGATTCGAACCCACACTACCAAAATCATCCTGCTGTGCATCACCAGAATCTGCACCGAAACGTCGCCGCTATTGTAATAAAGAAAACAATTTGTCTTTGTTCATCACGCATCTAAAGGGCACTGAAAGAAGCGTCTGAATACTATGTATTACATTGTATTGCCACAATGTTGATAACGCTGGAGCAGTAAAAATATATCAAACAAGTACGTTTAAATATATGTACACAAGGTAGACAAGATGACATACACGTTATACATATTAACACAACGCATGTACGTATCTGCAGTAACATGAATAGCGTGAGTGACAAGTAGTAGTGAATATTGAGATATATATAGATCTAACACACTGTGTGTCAATCATCACTCGATAATACTTTACACTTTCCTGATGTGTTTATTCGATTGAAACTGTTGATAACGATGGAGCAATTAAAATATATCAAACAAGTACGTTTAAATATATGTACACAAGGTAGACAAGATAACATACACCTTTTACATGTTAACACAACTTGTAATATGTGCCTACATACAGACAGACAGACAGACAGTTTATTCAGTAACAAAGGCATCAAGGCCCATAGTAAAATGCAGATTGGATATTAACATTTGTCATGTGATGTACATGATTAGATTTTAAATCAAGTTACACATTCTTCTTTATAAAGAAATGTTTTAAGAATACAGAAACACCATGGATCATATCAGGATTTTCAGACTTTAGCAGATTTATCATTAACTGACGGTCTTTCAAAATACCTTGCAAAATGGGCAGAAATTTGTACATTAAATGGTAATACGTTTCACATGTAAATAAGACATGGTATTCATCCTCTACTTCTCCGGATGAACAGTTCACAATATCACCGTGTTTGGACCTGCGACATATATTTACATTAAAATTGTGCAATGAAATTTTAAGTTTACAATTAGCTCTGATTAAATTTTTATCATTTAAACAAGTTGAATATCTTTCAGTTTGTAACAATGATTATACTTTGCTGTAATTGCTAATTAAGATAAAGTGTTTCAGAAATACTGTGCCTACATACACGTAGAGTAAACTACTAGTAAACTCAAAGGGACAAAAAATTATAGTTCGTTATAACCGTAATTCGTTATAAGCATATATACAGCATATATACCGCAAATGGCAGGGACCTAAAAACCAGTTCCTTATATCCGCCAGTTCGTTATGACCGTAGTGTTTATACTCATGATACTGCAAAACAAAAGGTAATCATAATCCGAAGCAGCCGAAAGTCCAGCTGTAGATATTCTATATATACTATATCGTTCACAAAACAAAGAATGTCATATTGCCAAATTGAGGATAGACAAACAACACAATAACATTCAAACATTTAGTTTAGAAATGTGGCAGGGAGGCAGGTAGCTAGGTGCTGTAACTGCTCTGAAATACACCATATTTATAGTCCAGTCCTTTTAACTTCTAAAACCGGAACTTAGGCACTGTATCAGGAAAGTTGAGTAATCTCTGAAAAAACTCACTCACTCGCCCACTCATACCAATATTAAAATGAAAGCTATACACTGTATTGTATTGGTTATTTTCTTCAAACGAGCTGATATTAAGTTATTAGATACAGTATTAAATAGATGCGACATACTTTAAGGAGTATATTAACGTTGCCGATGTCAAAATGTCTGCACACTCGAATAAAATGTTCCTGATGGTGAGTGTTGTAATGTATGCACTGCATTGGGGAAGGTCCTGTCCTTTAATAAAAAACTAAGGGCGGTCGGGTAGCCAAGTGGTTAAAGCGTTCGCTCGTCACGCCGAAGACCCGGGTTCGATTCCCGACATGGGTACATTGTGTGAAGCCCTTTTCTGGTGACCCCCGCCGTGATTTTGCTGGAATATTGCTAAAAGCGGCGTAAAACCATACTCACTCACTCACTTATATAAACTAATGTATTTTGTGGCGGTACCCAATAGCACTACTCCGTCACATCCCTCTATACCAATCGATAGTTGTCTGGCATGAAGGATTCAAAACGCGTTTATTCCCTCTATGTTGTAAGTGATTACATGTTTTAGACAGGTATACAGTACATTAAAATTGCCTTTACTCGTACATTCACATTTCAAGCAAAATATGGATAATCGGTTCTACGATATATATGCCTGTAAGCAGAAAAAAGTGATACCACAGAATAGTCTTTGTTCTGCAATAAAAATATAACTTCTACCAATTAGATAAAAGTGACAAACCAATTTTCATAATCCTAAAGACAAATGCAACATAACTATTTACATAATAATACAAAATCTCAGCAATAATGAGAATTACAATTAATTGTCATGTATTAACTAATGATAGTCCATTTTTATGTCAAGCATATACTCTTTGATCTGATTTAGGTGATCGAAGCAGTCCCAAATGATTTAGAAATCAGTCAAGAAGTCAACATATGTAATCCAATAAGCTACCTAAGTTAGTGTGGGAGCTGGCTTAAAATTTTGGGTTAGAGTACTAGTACATATCCAGCAAACCTATGCTTGACACACAAGGTAACCAAATATCGGGCAGTCGGGTTGCCAAGCTTGATTGATCTGGTTTCTCTGCTCGAAACACGATTACTTACAGGCCGCCGTCATATAACTGGAATATTGCAGTGCAGTCTATGACAAAATACAAACTTTGATAATTATTTTAAATATATCATGACGTGTCAGCGTAAGGAGCAGCTGGAACCCACGAATTGGGGGGATGAATCCCATATATACCAAAGTTTAATGCTACAAAGTCACAAAGTCTAATGATCTGTCAAGCATGATTAAAATATTTTGCGTTTTGGTACATTTCACCTTCAGAGACTATAGACGTTATTTATTAGTAGTTAATATGTTTCTCTCGAGTCATCTCTGCCAGATGGACACGGACAGTTCCCCGGATGTGCTTCCTGCAGACTGGGCAACGTTCAAGAGCAGGTGTGCACACGGCACAGGCCACGAGATGTCCACAGGGGAGGAAGACGATGTTGGAAGGGTCCTCCAGACATATCTTACATGTACTTGACTCTCTCAGCTGCCGTGTCTCTTCCTCTGTAGCCTTTAACTCTTCCTTGCTCTTGCCTGTTCAAACATATATAAATATATTATATCAAACTCAACAGATGACATATTAAAACACCTTATGACTTATTCTCGCATTATTACGGGCGTTACTTGAATACTTGCAACTGATCGTGTGGTGGAAGGCAAGTGATGGTGAGCCCATGACCCCTTTTCCCGGGTGCAAATGTATGTACCAAAATATACATTTTGGGTAAAAAGGAGAACTTTTTAGAGAACATTTTACCTTTAAAACTTTTGTGTTCCCTTACTTTGGCGATGTCTTTTCATGTCACGATTTTATTTTGTATCAACCTTGTACCATGTATCGATTCTACATCTGCATTAACACGTACATATCTAATTACTGCATTATTACATTATTCATTCAATTTAAAGTTGAATGCATGGAACAAATGTTTGCACGGAATGTTTTATTATACCATATTATTACCTTTATGATGAAATTTGTTCTTTATCTTATCAATATTCTCGGGTCGTTGCCTTTCAGTAGGCATACTTAAAAAGCTATTCACAGTGGCACTGCCTCCACCATTTCTCCCACCTTCGCTGCCAGCTAATGAGGACATTGTATCAACAGAAGAGGCAGCTCCTGGTAGTGGTGTTGGAGAGTCATTGTCAGTGTTATAAAAAATATTTGTCCTGTCGCTTGTCCTTTGTCCGGTAAGAATATATTGTCTTGGTCGGTTTAATGTTCGTGAGTCTTCACCCTCCTCCGCCTTGTGAGTCGCCAGTGAGGAAGTTGTTAAGCCTGCTGTTTCTATACTTGTATGATCTGACGAACTGTCTTTGTCCTCTGTAGCCCTGTGCAATATCTGTCTTGTTTCAGCTTGGGGATCCGATGACCTTCGTTTGCCCACTGCACTGTTCAACGTAAGTGGTGTGTCTGTGCCTCTTGGTGCCCCTTGGATTATGTCATCTGATCTACTGCCAATGTTTGCCTCAGCTCCTGTTGGCGCTTCACTCGCCATGGGTTGAGCAGCTTCTGTTTGTTCTGATTCTTCTCCATCTGTCACAAGGATCGTCTCAAGCAGCACTTCTAGTGTCAGTGATGACTTCCCTGAAAAACATTTCATTTCGTGTGAACACTAGAACACCATTTCAACTTTAAACTTACATTTGTATTCAAAATAAAGGGGCACTCACCTGCAGCGTAAACGGTTTCCTCAGCAGCAGCTTTAACCTTCTCCCTTTTGAAACCCATCTCCAGAGCCTGTTTACACGCAACATCCGTCAAGATTTCTGTTCAGAAAAGACATCGGTTGTAGAAGAATAATGAGACTAATAATCATTATTCATATATAATTATTAGTTGCCGTATCTCCAACAACGGCCATGAATAAGTGGTGAACAGACAACTGTCTTAACTCAATCTGCTTATCATAGTCGAGACTAAAGTCTTTCAGTGACGGAAAAGTGGATAATATTCATTCTGGGCATATCAAGTCCTTTACCATTCATTCAAGTATTGAGAATTGTTTGGGATAATGCCACACCTGTCAGATCCTTTCCCTTTGACATATGGCATTTTACAAGCTATTCGTAAGAGTCGACTTACGAGCTATTCATATATATCAAATACATTTTAATTTTAACTCTCAGGATTCTTTGGGCATATCGAATTTCATGTCATGGGATGAGGTCATTCTTGTGGCTATACACTTAAGAACAGTTCATTAGTTTAGGCCACTGCAACCATAAAATGGTAGATTGAAGTAGAAGCTCTTGGGAAACCATCATATCAAGGTCACTTGGGAGATAATCAAAAAAGAACATGAGCCACTTGTAACCACTGTACATTTTAATGCACATGAGTTAAGGTTGCAGTTGTATGTTTTCAGTGAACTTCATTAAATGCCAAGGTAATTAAGGTAATCTCTTGTCGCAGATGTTGCAGTAAAACAAAAGTCATCATACACTTGTATATGATTAAATCAGGTCCCGTGAAGATTCCGGGGTAGAATAGGTCTTCAGCAACTCACGCTTCCCTTAAAAGATGACTATGCTTGTCGTAAAAGGCGACTATAGGGATCGGATTGTCAGGCTGGCTGACTTGGTTGATACATGTCATCGATCCCAATTGCGTGGATCGATGCTCATGATATCAATCACTGGATTGTCTGGTCCAGACTCAATTATTTACAGACCACCGTCATATAGCTGGAATATTGCTGAGTGCGGCATTAAACAACAAACCAACCAACCAACGAAATCATACCTTCTCCAACCTTGCCCGGGTTTATTTTGTTATTTGATGATGTCTGTTGATTAGGGTCAGTCTGAAAATTGAAATGAAATTAATGCAACAAGCATGAAATACTCATATCCCCGCGCCAATATGACATGTCCTTGTGTGCAAGGCAAGAAATACTATACGGTTTTCAAGATATGCACCGGTAACGAGCACTACCGCCAAAGACGTTGCTATTGAAACTAAAAAAAAAGTCTTTTTCTTAAATCCCATACTATCACAAGGCACTAGTTTACCACTGGACCTATCTATGTTCCAAGTTTGGTTAAGATATCTCTCATGCTTTTTACTTCTGCCCAAGAGACGAAACGTGACAAACGTAACGGACGGACGGACGGTACGATGGACGGACAGCAAGTATTTCTACTTCGTGGCGGGAGATAATTACATTTTTAACCAAGAAATAGTGAAGTTAATCAAATGTGGCACAGTGAAAATTCAGGATGAATATTATCATTTTATGCAAAACCAAATCAAATAAAAATCTATGAATGGAAGGTTGGCGTCAAGTTAAAAATAAATATCATTTACTTGTGGTGTCACCTGCATGGAACGTCCAATGGCTGCTAATGTCTGTATAATGAAGAGTTTTCCCCTTACTGCTTCTACATAGGCACAAGACGGTCTCCGGCGGACATGCTCGGTCCAGGGGTCATCTCCATCCTCCCATGTCCTCAGACCAACACCGCACACAAAACACCTCACACAGTCGGCGTAACCTACAGTACAGAACATCTTATTTTCAATAAATTACATATTATAATCGCTCGACCAAATACAAATTGCCATGTACAATGTTACATGGCAATGTACTTTTCAACTGCATAAATTCCACGTTAACACCACTTAGTTTCTTGTCTAAGAATCGATTGTTTACAGACCGCTGTATTATAACTGGAATATTGCACAGTGGCATAAAATAAATATGAATTATATCTGCTTAAGAAGGTGTCTATGTTTGGAGAACATAATTAAAAAAGGCAACAACTTTGTGCTGTTAATTTCAGTGCCATTGTGAAATCAAAATGATATGACATCGACTTAAATTAAGTAAGATTACCGGCATAAAAAAATCCTGCTCTGACAAGTTCTTCAGGTAGTTGACTGTGCCCTTCAGGCCACACGTTGAAGGAGGCGAGACGGGTCTCAGAAGAGCTGTAGTGAGGGTGAACTGACCCATCAAAGCTCAACACTGGTGCTATTTCATTAGCTTCTCTAGTGGGAGTTGCAGATTGTTGAGTAGGAAGAGAATGCCGTGCCTCCAATTCAGAGGAGGTTGGGCTGTTTCTAGAGGAGCCAGTTGCACCTAGAACTTCAGTGGGGTTTCTATCCTGACTCACGTTCTCAGACAGATTTGTTTGTTGGGTGCTGTCGTGCCTTCTGTCTTCTGGATGTCGATTAACTGCTGCAAACCCCGTAGACGGTTGAATAGGGACATTCTTGTCATCTGTGCCAGTTACATGTTTACAGGTTGGTGAACGTTGGCTGTGAACTACAAAAGGGTTATCCCTTGGTCCCCAGTGTCTATGTGTTATACCACAGCTAAAACATCTTGTTTCATCCCCATTTTTCGTGGCATAAAAGCCTGATGCTGCCAGGCGTAGGTATGAAACATTCATGTTTACTTCGTGAAATGACCTCAATCGTAACCCCTCATACCTCATCTCTTCCTTTTCTGGCAATTTCTCTTGGGTGTAGTCGGGTGGAGTGAAGGGGAAAATTGCATCAAGGTACATCCAAAGTCCATTCATTTTACTCTCAAAAGACTCATCCATTTCAAATGGAAGAGGGTGAGTAGACAAGGAATCAAATACATCAAAGTCTAAACACTTTTGCAAAATATGGCGAAGTTCATGTATCCGAATAGCACGGTTCCCGCAGACATGTAGGAGGTATTCTTTCACACTATGTTTACCAGGTAGTTCAAAATCACTTTTGTTCTTCTTAAAATGTACTAAATTTGTTTCAGTGAAAAGCTGACACATGTGATATGTATGCGACTGTATTTCATTTGCCAACATACATCTTATAATTAGTTTGTAATGCAGCAGGTATTTCGATTCAAGAGCTCTTCGGCAATCCTCTTCAAAAACCCTACACTTCATATCGAGAAGCTCCGTTAATAATGGTTCTTGACTCTTGAACCCACCCTCCAAGGCGTTATTCTTCGGACTGTAATTCCCACTGTTCTCTTGATCCCCGCTTGGTGATGTTGCAGTATGTTCACTGTCTTCGGTCGTTCCCTCCACAGTGTGGGGCATCTCTTTGTTTATCCTTTCTATCTCGCTGATACAAATTATGAAATTGTCTATGTTTATGTAAAAGCAAACATAAATACTGGAGACATCAATATGTTGCAGATTCTTTTGTTTGATAAAACCAGCATCATGTTCTTTTCTATTTTCAGTTTGACCAAATGGATAGTCATCATTTGATTTTGTAACATGGGTTGTTTCCCTATTGTTGGCAAATGCATGCAATTTGGTCAGTGCTGGGGATACCATTTTGCCCCTAACGCCAGGCTTTGTTGTCCTGTCTTCTGAATAGGCAGAATGTATAGTTGTGACGTGTTCACGTGTTATATGTTCACCAGTTGCTGAAAAAAGAACGTACACGTTATGTTATATCATCAAACAACACACACATCTCAAATTCCTTCAGCTCATGCGACCCGTGAAGATCCGGGATAGAATAGGTCTTAAGCAACCCATGCTTGCCGTAAAAGGCGACTGTGCTTGTCGTAAGAGTCGACTAACGGGATCGGGTGGTCAGACTCGCTGACTTGGTTGAAGCATGTCATCGATCCCAATTGCGTGGATCGATGTATACATAATATAAATCACTGGATTGTCTGGTCCAGACTTGATTATTTACAGATCGCCGTCATATAGCTGTAATATTGCTGAGTGCGGCGTTAAACAACAAACCAACCAATCAACCAACCAAATCATACCTTTTCCAACCTTGCCCTGGTTTATTTTGTTATTTGATGATGTCTGCTGATTAAGGTCAGTCTGGAAAAATATCAGTTATCTCACATATGAAATTAATGCAACAAGCATGAAATACTCATATCCCCGCGCCAACATGACATGTCCGGTTGTGTGCAAGGCAAGAAATACTGTACGGTTTTCAAGATCGCCGTCATATAGCTTGAATATTGCTGGAGTGCGGCGTAAAAGAACAAACAAACCAAGCTCATGCTGTATGAAATTAAAGGGCAACTTTGCAGATTTTAATACTTTAGGGAATACTTAATCGCCAAAATTAAATTTGAAAATCGTAATTAGCTTTAAAAAAACAATAAAGAACGACACGCGAAATTGTCCCCAAAACGATGAATATCCTCCAGTCAAGAGATTCCCCATCCTGGAGGTTAAATGAGTTTCCGTTGCTTAACACGCTGCGCAATTTTAACGAACGGATCGGCGCCCGGTCTGCCTGGTGGTTTATTAGAGATCTTCCTACCTGTCCAGCACCTTCTGTTAGGTTGATATGCATTTTATTTCCAAATCTAAGTGCGATCATAGGCTTGGTTTTCGCCGGATGCAGCGAATAGGTGGCATGGTTTACACCGCTTTTAGTAATATTCCAGCAATGTCACGGCGAAGGGACACCAGAAACGGGCTTCACACAGTGTACCCATATGGGGAATCGAACCCAGGTCTTCGGCGTGACGATCGAACGCTTAAACCACTAGGCTACCCCACCGCCTCTTGCCGGATACAAGTTCACGATTAAGAGAAAACTTCAAACTTTCATTCACTGGAAATATTCTCTAAGAGGATGCCCAGTCATCAATCACTAATACCAAAGATGACTTTGTCTCTGAGCAGTGGGACGACGCCACAATTCATCTCGAGGGATGGCATCCAAATATGTACAAATTCACTGAGCTACTGCAGGTAGAGTAGGATAATACTGGGATCACATCCAGTTAGGTTGATGTCAGCTAAGAAGAAGTGTCGATACCTAGACTAAGCCTTTGAGACAACTTCTTGCCAATCTGAAAACAGTGTACGATTATCACAATGCTGTTTCACATCTGGACTGTGGAATATGTAAATGATAATGTTTAATGTAAAATTCGACAAATGATTTGGTTTTTTTGTTTGTTGTTTAACGCCACATTCAGCAATATTCAAGCTATATGGCGGCGGTCTGTAAAATAATCGAGTCTGGACCAGACAACCCAGTGATTGACATCATGAGCATCGATCAACGCAATCGGGATCGATGACATGTATCAACCAAGTCAGCGAGCATGACCACACGATCCCGTTAGTTGCCTTTTACGACAAGCATAGTCACCTTTTACGGCAAGCATGGGTTGCTGGAGACCTATTCTATCCCGGAATTAAGACAATATTTAATACAGTGCTCATTCTCATTATTAATTGATACTTACATATTTTTTTAAGTGAATAAATGCTGGATGTATGAATATATATTGCTTAAACATACACGATGGAGATTATCCCTTGGCCATCTGCTGGACAAGTAGGAAGTCATCCTTTACGGTACCCAAACAAGATGTTTGTCATACAAATAATAGCATTTTTTGCTATTGCGCACATCACATGCTGACTGCGCATCAAATGTCATACCAAGTATGACATGCAAGTATTACAGAAATGGAAGAGAATAAAAAATTTAGTATAGCTAAATAGTATAGCTACATATGTGTCAAATAAAAAGACCGAACAGACTTGTGGATTTAGCATATGAAGATCAAGTTTAGAATTCGGTTGTCTTCATGGACCTTTACTTGTCGCAAGAGGCGACTAACGGGATCGGGTGTCAGACTCGCTGACTTTGTTGATGCAGGTCATCTTATCCCAATTACGCGCAGATTGATGTTTATCATGCCAATCACTGGATTGTCTGGTCCAGACTCGATTATATACAGACCACCTTCATACAACTGGAATACTTCCCGGTGCGACGTTAAATAACAAAGAAACAAACTTATGGATTTCAAAATATCTATTCATATCGGTACAGGTGCTAGAACATTGCACCTTTATCAAGTAAGAGTACCAGCATTTGTACCGAAACGTGGCACTGCAAGAACATAGAAGTTAGAATCCATATGTCTACCCTGTCTTCGCGGATACTACAACTTCTAAACGCCACTTAATGAAATGTATAATCAGGTCAAATACAAATTCGTTGAGTAAGTTTTAGAGGCCCTAATGTTAACATTGTGTACACTAAGCCGCCTTAACACTTGTGGTTTCGGAGCAGATATTGCCATTGTTAAGACGGACGGATAACGCGAAATGACATAAGCAGCCATTAGATCAGATAAAGTGGTCCAAAATGACCGTTTCAAATAGGCTAGCTGAGGTGAGGTGAAATGGGGTTTAACGTCGCGTCCAAGATCATTGCACTTACATAGCGACGTGCGACCAAAGTCTTTTGGTATGATGTGGCCGGGGATCGAACCCCGGACCTTCCGCTCTCCGGAACCTTCCGCTCTCCGGTCGGACGCTCTACCACTAGACCACGGAGGCTGTCGAGGCTAGCTGAGTGTGTAATGTTCCTAGTAATAATGTAGACAATGATTAGAGGCACCAACGCTGGAATTATCGATAAAAAGGTTTCACAAACATCTACTGGGTCTTCCCGTTAAAAGCGAGATGATAAAAAAGTGATGCCTACAGAGGACGGGCGATAGCCATAATGCATGGTGCTAACTCACATAAGATTTCATAATATAGCCTTTAGTTGTCATACAATCCATCATACATTAATGTTCTTTTGTACATGCTCCCATTTCGCTTCAGCACTGGCCTTTTTCAAACAACCTCAAAGTGCCAATTGAAATTGGACAATCAGGACACTTTTATGCACCATGTTATCTGACCTTTTTAAGCACACCGCCATATTTCGTTCAACTGCATTCTACAGAACCACGCTCAAAAATGCAAAACATAATGCAATTAGCAAATGTAATGATACAACAGGCGAGCAGCTAGAGTTCCTGTCGAATCTCCCACAAATGGATATAACATTGCATAATTAATAATTCAGTATGAATTCAAACCATTTTCCTGGATGGGTGTGCAAAGAGCGGGGATTGAGGCGGGAGCTACAAACAACGATAACCTCAAGCGAAATAGATGGCAACTATGCATGTAGTATTATAGCATGTATGTACACAAAGTAAGAGCACAGCTAAAGGGAGGTAACCAACATCAATATGTAAATAAATGGAATCGTTATCGGACAAATAGGGATACCAAGACTGTAATAACGACAATAGCGTTTGAATGATTTAAGGTGTTATGGAGGTCGTAGAGAACAAACATGAACGTCTAATGTATCAAATCACTGGCCTGTAAATATATGATATTTTCGAGGTACAGTATTGCGAATTAACTAACGCCACGCTACCGGGCCAGTTTCACAGTGTGTATCGTGCCACGACTACCTGAGTATAGGGGGTACGATATTCTTAGCGTTAATGTCTCTTTCAAACAACATCTAACAAGTCTTAATCTTACCACAAATGGTAGGCCTCATCCAAATACAACAAAATGTCGTCGCCTCACTCGAGAGCGAAACTAGAAATGACGTGTGTTTATTTTAACCTGTAGGGAATCACCAGGGTGAGAAACAAGTTCTAGGCGTACATGTACATAGGCAAGCGTTGGCTGTGTGCCATTGATTACATACACATGCTTCCACAAACGTTATTTTATACTGTATGACATCATGAATTTGATATGAAAATCTACATTTATCACCTCATATTATTTTCCTTTTAGGCTCCGTGTAAGAACTATCCTATTAAACTATCCTTTTCTGCAAACTACTAAACGTTATGTTGAAAGTGTGGATAGCATTATCGTAAAACACATTATCACAGATATTAAAATTACTTTCATAACATATTTGTAGCTTTAAAATGCACTCCGAGCTTGTTTGAAACCTAAGCAAGTTGTTCTACCAGGCGGTATCAAAATATGATTAGGATTATTCACATCTTTAAAAGCTACGAGACAAAACTTAAGATGAACAAACGATCTTCGGTGTTTTTATATGTATTTTGAACACACAGACCTGTATGGTCATATATATTTGCAAAGAAATAGACGCAGATGATGCTAATCCAGCATACAGCTATTATGACATATCAGTCTGGCAGGAAGTATGTTAGTTTGTTTGTTGTTTAACGCCGCTCTAAGCAATATACCAGCTATATGACGGCGGTCTGTAAATAATCGAGTCTGGTCCAGAGAACCCAGTGATTGATGTCATGAGCATCGATCCACGCAATTAGGGTACGATGACATGCAGCAACCATGCCAGCGAGCCTGACCACCCGATCTCGTAAGTCGCCTGTTACGACAAGCATAGTCGCCAGTTACGGCAAGCATGGGTTGCTGAAGATCTATTCTACCCCGGATCTTCACGGGCCAGCAGGAAGTATGGAGTTAATGGTGTGTATGAACAATTGTTTTTATTGGACACTCGATTACTTAAAAGCACAATAAGTATATGTGCAGGAGGTGTCAGCACAAATTGTTTCAGTAACATGATTTGTGATATCGCAGGATAATGAATGATAAATTATTGTTAACAAGACATTCTATATTGCACACAGCTACATGTTCATAATAAGAGAGTATGTGTCTAAGTAGACCGGATCGGAGCTACCTAACATAAACATGATAGATACAATTAGATACACGTCATGGTTCATTCAATTCACGAAGTAAATACCTTTCGAACCTTTGAAATATTCATGTTTAGTTTCCTTATGCACATTAGTTCAGCTTACCACTAGTAGACGCTCATACATACCGTACATACCATCGATTTCCATCGACACCAGCTCTCCTAGCTGTTAGAATTAGCATCACGTGATCTCAACAAGCGGTTATGTACAGGAATACATTGTGAAATCGCTAAATAACCATACAAGATCAATAGACCATAAATGACACAGGTTAAGGATTACAATCATAAAGGCAATACAATGGGTGAAACATGTGACACAATGTGCATCAGCAATACCATTATATTTAAGGTCCAAATTCACTCACTCCAAATCCAGTATTTGTCTATTTTATTATCTTGAATGAGGCTCGAACTCCGATCTTGAATCTGGGAATCAGTGTTGGACACTGGCAGGCGAAGGTAATCCCGTCCACAGTGGGCAAGTAGATAAACCTAACTTAGGTTGTAGTATTCGGAATGCCTTCAGTCACCCTCGTCTCGCACTTTCGGTACAGGTAAAGGAATAGTCAGCCTTGAAGTTCTAGAAACAGTAACCATGGGAAGCGTCCAGATTGATAGCGTTTGTCAAAGTGTCAACAAAACCGATTAAGGGGGTCGCCCCAACTAACACTTCCGGTACAGGTAGGTGATGAGAGCCACGCTCAATTTACCATTTACTATCATCAGAAATAGAGTTGCAATGTGTGCTGCCACATAACAGTTAGGATGAATGGATTTTCAAAACTGAGGAGGCACGCAAATGGGTAGTAATATGTCACTGCGGTGGAAGGAGCGTTGTATCAATACAAATGAGCAAAAGATATGCAAACCTATCTTACAAACAATATCACACGTGGTTGTGGCACGCAGTTTTTTCTTGTTGTATGCAGGCATGTGATATGTCACAAAGGAATGTGCAAACATTGTTATTTCTTTGAAACACACAATGTGTATGGCAGCCAGAATAAAATTGAGGATATTTTTTTTTTCCAATTCTTAATACATTTCTGCCAAGAAGCCATGTATGCCAGATGGACACAGATAGTTCTCAAGACGTGTTCCCTGCAGACTGGTTTTTGGAGCTGGTGCACACACGGCACAGGCCGCCAGCTACCCACGGGGAATGAAGACGTCAATCAAGATCAGAAATCGTATGCTTTTCATTGTAATCAACCGTTAGATAACACAGAGGTTAATATTTAAATATTGCTGATATGTTTCTCTCCAGAGCCGGCGAGCACACGCCACAGGCCACCATATGCCCACATGGGAGGAAGACGATGTTGGCAGGGTCCTCCAGACAGATCTTACATGCACTTGACTCTCTCAGCTGCTGTGTCTCTTCTTTTGTAGCCTTTAACTGGTTCTTGGTTTTATCTGTCACAGACCAAAACATTATTGAGCAATCATGTAGGTTCATGGCCTCAATTAATTAAACCATTTAGCGAACTTGTTACAAGGAAAGAAAGCGATAATTAAATACAATACAATCTTCGATGTTGATAGACTTTTTAAAGAAATAGAGTAAGATAGATCAAATCATCAACTGACATATTTAAACACGTTTATTGTTGTTTAATTTGTGGAAATAACATTCGAGATGAATAAACATGTGAAAGCGTAATCAAGGTTGCAATAAAGAATGTAGCCTAACATTTAGAAGTGATCTCTAGCAAGGCGAACAAGGTATGTGGAGCAACGACATCAAGTTTCCTCAAAGTTTAGCATTTCACTAACGATTCTCTTGGTTTGTTTGTTACCCTATCTGGCGCTCGTCATAAAGTGGCTAAAACAAGGACTGGTCGGCTCGGAGTCAGTATACTGCGTCTGAGGGGGGTATTCATGTTAAACTGCGGCATGGTATCTCAGTGAGCTAGCACTATAAATCGGCATCAGTCCGGACTAGTACAAGCAGCCACACACACACACACACACACACACACACACACACACACACACACACGTGCATGCACGTCGTTATATAACTGCAATAATCTTGGACGCGACGATAAACCAAATTTCACCTCACCTCACCGTTTGGTTTGTTATCTATATTGCATAATGTATTACATAATCAAAATAACCAATCCTATTCTACAAAAGAAGCCCTAAGGTGCCCTCTACAATATACAGCATCTGCAATACGTTTACCGTGTCTTTTCCTCTCTGCCTTTATTCTTTGACTGGGGACTGGCAAACTTAGGAAACCATTCACAGAAAAATTTGAGTCATGATCCCTTCCATTCTTTCTTCTTTCATTGTCTAACAATGTCGACTCCTTGGCAGCAATGTTTCCTGATAGTACTTCACATTGATGATTATTGTCACCCATATTCACCCTGTCTGCTGTCTCTGAGATAGTTACAATACTATGTGGTGCCACGGCATCTGGGTTCACTTCAGATGACATATATCCACTGTCTTGATTTCCATCAGCATGTCTTGTCCCCAATGGTAGAGGTGGTATTCTTGATATGTCTTTAAGCGGTACTTGACAATGCATGTTGCCCTCTGCACCCTCCACTCTTTCATTCCGTGTCTGCACCTGAGGGATGGTCACCTCCCCTTTCCCTTGAGCAGATGGTGTCAGTTCTGAACCGTCTCCATCAATTACTAGAATATTGTCCAGAAGAACATCTAATTCCAAAGCCAATGTTCCTGTAAAGGCAAGGAAAATGTAATTATTCCATACCATCGCATAACGTTTGATGCGCTAGAGATAGAAAATTGCAGCCCTCTGTTCTATTTGGGTTTGATTATTCAAACAACCAATTAAAACTTTAGTGATTACTGGTTATATCACATGTCACAAATTACACTGACTTGATTGAATATAGGTACAAGACCTGATCCCTCCATAAGTAGAATAACAAACTCACCTCTACTTCTCATAGTTGTTTGAGCTACAGATCTAATCTGTTCTGGGCTGAAACCCATCTCTAAAGCTCGTTGGCATGGGTCGGTCCTCATAATATCTGTAACAAAATAATGGTTTTGCCAAATGACGACAGGGGTTATTTTGCCCTATATTATATTAATAATTCTTATCAAAAGCTGACTCCTTATAATAATTGAAAATTACTGTCAATGTTTGTTGGTGTGTGTATCGAGGGAATGAACACATACTTGTTGCAAACCAGTGGACATTCGCCATCAAATCAGATGTACTCAACTACACTGAACATCAGGTATGATAGATGTGGTACGAATTTGGGGCTTTAGAACCTACCATCTTCAGAACTGTTCTGTGCTTTCAAGTCATTCAAAGACTGTTGTTGATGTTGACGAGACTATAATAAAATGTATATTGAAATTATGTGTAATCACACAACACCCCCACATCTACAAGACATCAGAAAGTTTATCAGAGTTTAGAGGAAAACCAATCACGATAAAAACACTAACATGTGACTTCTTTGAGAGGCATTTAGAAGTTGGAGTAGTAAGTAAGGATAAGATACTCACATGCTAACTTAAAACTCCTTCAACATGCTTAATTCATTTAATTCACATATACGAATACCTTGAGAGACAGAAGACAGCAACGTTTTTTCAAAAATGCTAAGTTATTCTTGCTAATGTGGCAGCAACATTACACATAACACCTGTTATAATATAAGATAGATAATTTATAATTTATAATAGATAGATTTTAAGTCAGCAATATTCCAGCTATATTCTGTAATTAATCGAATCTGGACCAGACAATCCGACGATTGACATCATGCGCAGCGATCTACACAATTGGGATACGATGACATGCATCAACCAAGTCGGGGAAACTGGTATGGATGCCATACCAGGATAGCTGTTTACCTGTGGGTCGGCCTGCATGGACCTTCCAATTGCTGCCAGTGTCTTAATGATGAAAGTCATCCCTCTTGCTGCTTCAACATAGGCACAAGATGATCTCCAGCGTACGTGCTCCACCCAGGGGTCATCCCCCTCCTCCCAGGTCCTCAGACCAACACCGCAGACAAAACAGCGCACACAGTCAGAGTAGCCTGTTCAGAAGTATCATACATTATTATGGTCATTACAAAAATCAGACAAATCATTTATAATATTTGAATCTGTATATCTGAACTATAAGTTTTGTTAAATAACACTTACCAGCATAGAAAAACCCTGCGTCTACGAGGTCTTCGGGTCGTTGACTGTGCCCATCAGGCCACTGTTGGAAGGATTTGCGACGGACAGTTTTGTTGCTATAGTGAGGATGAACAGCACTGTCAAACCTTGATGTAAGTATTGCTGTTGGTACATTGACATTGCAAGTGCTTGTCGTTTGTTGAGTTGTGTAAGATTGTGGACTAGAACTATTAGTAGTCGTTACTGGTGTATGGTTCCTTGATGTTCCTACTGCTCCTAATAGTTCCGAAGGGACACTTCCATTAGAGGCACTCTCTGACTCTCTTGTCTCGGGATTGCTCCCGTTTCTGAATTGTGGTTCATGACCTGTATCACTTACTGCTGGCACCTGAATAGGCACATTCCTTTCATCAGTGCCAGTTACATGGATGCAGTTTGGAGAAATCATTGCATGCAGGATGTGCGGGTTGTCCTTTGTTTGCCAATTCCTGTTGGTTACACCACAACTGAAACATCGAGTCTCATCGCCATTACCTGTAGCATAGAACCCTGCTGCTGCCAGTCGAAGACATGAGACACTCATGACCACTTGGGCAAAAGACTTCAAACGCAAACCTTCATACCTCATTTGCTCCTCATTTGTTAATGCTTCATTTTTAGCTTTTTTAGCGAAATAATCATGAAGAGAAACAAAAGGGGACGTAACATGGGATCTTTCTAACATACCATGAAATACTGCATACTTCAAATCATCAATAATTTCTTTATATTTTTTATCAGCCGAGGATCTGTCCACCTCATCAGTATCATAAGGAACATCATGCACAGCGCTGTGAACTGCATCAAAGAGTTTTTTCTTTTTCTCTTTAGTACGCTGAGGTTGTTCTACCTGTTCCTCTTCATCACCTCTGTGTTTGTCTGAGTCTATATTAAATGTCTCTTTCGAGTATGTTATGTCGGTAGTTTCGAGAATTTTGTTTTGTTTGGTTGCATGAACAGATGGTTTCATGCTTGATTTCAGATCACGATTATGAGCAATACAATAGTTACTGGAAACTTTAGACTGTTTTCCCATCGAAATATTACTTAAATCATGTTGATCTTTTCTTTCACATGATCGTAATTTACGCAATGTTTGCGAACTTACAGCAGGAGAAAAAGTATTTTTAAACTTCTGTTCTCCTTTCCTTTGCTTGTGAACCTTTTCTTTAAGAGTTTCAAGATAAGGTTGTGCCTCGCCATGTGATCTTTGTTCAACTGTTGTACTTGTTAAATCCTGTTCCAAACTACTCAAAGCAGAACCATGGTGTGACAAAGTATTCACGAAACTAACGACAAATCTCTTTCCACATTCTATGGTGGTCATGTGATCAATATCAGAATACTGTTCCATGCTTTGAAGAGGTGTTTCATAGCTGTGTACATTGTGATCAGTTGTGGTCAATGATTGCCGTATTACACCTGGATTTTCTGTTACTCTGTCTACACTTCCTACACAGATGTTTCCAGAGTCAGCAGTATGTGCCTTTCTGGATAGTTGGGGTGCACCGACCTCATTTTTTGGTGCCATGATGTCTCTTTCAGATATCCAGGATGCAGGCAGCTCCTGTATTTACTGCAAAAGATATAATATTATATATAGGTAATTGCAGCCACATACGTGTTTTTGGGAGTGCAGTAATCTTGGGGGTGCCCGAGAAGTGGAAGAGGAGTGAGAGTCTGAATAGTGGTTAAAGCTATTTCACTAACCAAGATCCGGTATTCTCTCATTTCTGGTGATCCCCCCACAAGAAAAAATACCCATATATACAAAATATACAATTTTGTATATTTGATATTTCCAAAATATACAATTTTGTATAGTTGGTATTTCCAAAATATACAATTTTGTATATATGGTTAGATTTTACCACTGCTTCATTCAATTTCCTCACCTCTTATAGAATGTTTCACATAATATGTGGTTGCAAAGTTTACTAATGATACCGAACAGTATAATTATTGCATGTGACAATAATGCTTTAATACTATTTTCATTATGACAACTATATGATGTTATGAAATAATTTGTATTTCGTTATGTTTTACAGATCTTAACAACAGTTTGATCAATATAAAATGCGTACGCCAGCAACAAGTAGTTGAAAGTAGTTTTAAACATTGATGTTTATCGTTCCAAAGCTCTGTTCTCCAGCTCAGTTCATCTTTGTTTACGAGAACGTTTTTAATATGGGCAATATACTTCTTTCGGGACATTGGAGCAGTCATAATATTCATAACATCATAAATATTAAGATTACAGGCAATTTTAACAACTTTAGTACTCCATGAACTTTTACATAGTAACCATTTTCTTCATCAAAGCGTTACAAGTACTGTTATTAAATCTTGGGGTAGTCTAAAAACATTAGCATGTAATGTAACAAACGGGGAGGAGAGACCCATGTCTCCATTAGTGGCTATACATGGAGGTACCGTTACTAACACCAAGAAATAATTTACCGGCTCTATTTTGGATTAGATTAACGTTTTATCCTCATATACCAGAGCCATAGAACATTACCGGCTCAACAAGACTTTCATACAGTTTCATAAAAAACATCATAAGACATACACCCAACAGAATAAGACAAAGCATGGCTGGCAGAATTGTACAACTCTTTCACAGTTTCACATATCTAGATGCTCGTCAACCCATAGTCCCAGATAACGATATGATTCTACATAGACCAGTGTTTGCCCAGCGTAGAGGAATCTGGTTAATCTGTATCACTTAACGAGTGGTGAATAGCTTACTCTGCCCACAGTCGAGAGCAGCACAGTAATTAGTAGTTTAGACCAGGCGAATACACTGGTCACACTTGACTGGTCTGTCTGATGATTCGGTCACCTGCCAAATGGGATGTCTGACAATTGGGTGTGAACCTTACAGAGGAAGTTATTTTATGAATGCGTCACGTGTTTCAAAAGAGATGACCATTATCTAAGTAAAATACTTCTAAGATCATAAAGGACATAACATTTAATAAAGTGAAATTCATTTTCGACAAACTTTTATGAACAATTTTAAAACAGTGCGGGCAGATTCTATTTTCTAAAAGGTTTGGGGGTTGTAAATCGTCCTGTTTCGATCCAGATCTAAAACTAGCTAAAATGCGACGGTGGTCCCTGTATTTAAAACATAAGGAGCAACAACGTTACGATCATGAAAGTTCTTAATGTATTGCCCTTAACGTTATGTTTATCGTTCCAAAACTCTGTTCTCCAGCCCAGTTCATCTATGTTTACGAGAACGTTTTTAATATGGGCAATTTTCTTCTTTCGGGACATTGGAGCAGTCATAATATTCATAACATCATAAATATTAAGATAACAGGCAATTTTAACAACTTTAGTACTCCATGAACTTTTACATAGTAACCATTTTCTTCATCAAAGCGTTACAAGATGTTATTAAATCTTGGGGTAGTCTAAAAACATTAGCATGTAATGTAACAAACGGGGAGGAGAGACCAATGTCTCCATTAGTGGCTATACATGGAGGTACTGTTACTAACACCAAGAAATAATTTACCGGCTCTATTGTGGATTAGATTAACGTTTTATCCTCATATACCAGAGCCATAGATCATTACCGGCTCAACAAGACTTTCAAACAGTTTCATAAAAAACATCATAAGACATACACCCAACAGAATAAGACAAAGCATGGCTGGCAGAATTGTACAACTCTTTCACAGTTTCACATATCTAGATGCTCGTCAACCCGTAGTCCCAGATAACGATATGATTCTACATAGACCAGTGTTTGCCCAGCGAAGAGGAATCTGGTTAATCTGTATCACTTAACGAGTGGTGAATAGCTTACTCTGCCCACAGTCGAGAGCAGCACAGTAATTAGTAGTTTAGACCAGGCGAATACACTGGTCACACTTGACTGGTCTGTCTGATGATTCGGTCACCTGCCAAATGGGATGTCTGACAATTGGGTGTGAACCTTACAGAGGAAGTTATTTTATGAATGCGTCACGTGTTTCAAAAGAGATGACCATTATCTAAGTAAAATACTTCTAAGATCATAAAGGACATAACATTTAATAAAGTGAAATTCATTTTCGACAAACTTTAATGAACAATTTTAAAACAGTGCGGGCAAATTCTATTTTCTAAAAGGTTTGGGGGGTTGTAAATCGTCCTGTTTCGATCCAGATCTAAAACTAGCTAAAATGCGACGGTGGTCCCTGTATTTAAAACATAAGGAGCAACAACGTTACGATCATGAAAGTTCTTAATGTATTGCCCTTAACGTTATGTTTATCGTTCCAAAGCTCTGTTCTCCAGCTCAGTTCATCTTTGTTTACGAGAACGTTTTTAATATGGGCAATTTTCTTCTTTCGGGACATTGGAGCAGTCATAATATTCATAACATCATAAATATTAAGATTACAGGCAATTTTAACAACTCCATGAACTTTTACATAGTAACCATTTTCTTCATCAAAGCGTTACAAGTACTCTTAAATCTTGGTGTAGTCTAAAAACATTAGCATGTAATGTAACAAACGGGGAGGAGAGACCCATGTCTCCATTAGTGGCCATACTGGAGGTACCGTTACTAACACCAAGAAATAATTACGGGCTCTATTGTGGATTAGATTAATGTTTTATCCTCATATACCAGAGCCATAGATCATTACCGGCTCAACAAGACTTTCATACAGTTTCATAAAAAACATCATAAGACATACACCCAACAGAATAAGACAAAGCATGGCTGGCAGAGTTGTACAACTCTTTCACAGTTTCACATATCTAGATGCTCGTCAACCCGTAGTCCCAGATAACGATATGATCCTACATAGACCAGTGTTTGCCCAGCGTAGAGGAATCTGTTTAATCTGGTTAATCTGACTGTTGGAATATTATCTATGCATTATCCTGTCTAAAAATCTAGATATATTTACAATATCATGTATGCATTTTTGAATCATTGTATTCCGGTGTGGTCTTCATATAAACTTCTTGACCAATCCGCTTCATGTACATTTTCAGAAAAACATAACATAACATGGGAATACCGTTCGAATTGAGCCTCGCTCAATTTCCCTGTGCGCTGTGATTTTTTATTTATTTTTTTTAAATGAACATTTTACAGGGACTAGCTGTGCTACCACACATGTTAAACCATTTTTACAGTTTTGTCTAATTTTAGCGATAATGAAAACTGAGTAGAGATAAGATATATTGATGAACAACGTCTTTATTACAGTTGGGAGCGACGCTTAGGTGCATGTTGTAACACCATTATCAAGCAAGTGATGTTGTTCATCCACAGATCTTATCCTCTCTCAATACTCCAACTTCTAAATTCCTCGCAAAGAAGATAATGATACTTGTTTTGAATCTTGCCATCGTACAAAATATTCTTCGCACAGTATTCAAGAAACAATGTAATATTAATATCATACTACGCCATCAATATATGTTGTGCAATATTTGAGAGGTTGGCGCCTGTCGGGACGGTGTGAGATGCTAAAACTGTTCTTGTATAGTCTAGTATCCTTTGGCTAGTGACAGCTACCACTGTTTATTCCCATTCAAGTTGCTAACGGTGTTTCATCTAAACAGTATTATGGGAACGGAAATTAAGACATTACTTCATTCGTTATGCTACCATTTTTGGATATATGTCCATGAGATTAATCTGTTAATTTTTCCGTATTTTTATTACGGAACTTATAGCTTTGTGTGGCACAAACGATCAAATAGTAAGATGACTACAATTAAAGGGCATTAATAACGAGAGGCTGTTCACATATATGTACATCATATATGTATCACGCGAATCATTTCTGATTTTACTCGACGTAAGAGCTAGAAACGTTACCTTCTTCCGGCGCAGCGGTTCTAGATGTTGGCGCTATCTAGATTGGGTCCCTGACACATGCAGCTCTATTTGATGGGTGTATTGTACTTAATAAGCTGAACTTTTATAAATCTATTTTTTGCAAATATATACTGGTCACTCCAACTAATCATTGTTACTAAAATATATAGGATTGTTGTCTATAACGTGTCCATTCGTATGTCTGTTTTACGTCTGTTCTACTAATTATTGACACTAAGAAACTTGTACAATTTTTTAAATCATTACTAAACGTGTTGTACTTGTCTACATCTGAATTGAAAAGTAGGAGAAAAGTTGCTTACTGTATTTTGCCGCCTTTGATGGTTCTGATGATCAAGATGACAACGTCAAAATCTAAGTGTTCAGGAGTCGATGAGGATTCAGGAGTTTTTAAATTGATGCAGAATCAAGGTTGGGGGTTATTATAGGCCTAATAGTGCACCACGTGATTTATGTCCAGGCCCCCGTGACATGCAGTTGTCATGTGACATGTAATTAACTAATTGAATTGCAAAAACAATTCCGACAGCAAATAACCGCATCCACAACAACAATGCGTGGATGCAAAGAAAGAAACCATTTTAAACCCCTTTCTGTATATTTGTATTTGTATTCCTTTCTGAAACTATCATTCTACAAACAGTTGTGTTCACCGCCCATTGTGATACTTCTACTTAAGAAAATAAAAAAGGATGTTTATTTAGTCA